TTTTTTTACAGTGTTTGTTTTCAAGTTTTAAATGGTCATTTTATAGTTGTGACATCACAACTTCACAGAAGTCCTGACGGCCTGTCTAAAGGCACAGTTTCTGAATATTGACTGTTGTCGAATGCATTTCTCTGTGGATTGAGCATTTTGATACTTTAACAGTATTAAAATGCTCAATCCACTCCAAAAATATGGGAGGTTTAAGAATGACCCTATTGTAACCAAAAGGTAAATAGGTTAAATGAGGGATTTGTGTGAGGTGTGAGCTAATGAACTACTAGAGCTAATAATTAATTATCTATGCAGCTATTTCACATATATCCTGTATCTGCTTGTTTGGGCAAATCACTTTCATCCCTCTCAAACACAGGATTCTGCAGTGGGTCTGCTTTATCATTGAAAGTAAATATTTGAAGTGCACTTTGGCTTTGGTATTCTCTTTTGTCTGCATCATTGCCATTCTGATCTGTAATGCTAGCTGCCCTCAGTTTACTCAAACACAGCATGCTAAAGCTGCTGCTACTGCATGCTGGACAGAGCTGTCTCCTATACAGTGATTTGGTTTTGGTACCAATCAATTAGACCTAACTCCTAAAAAAGGACTCTGTGTCTGCTTAACCACACCCTGCTGTGTGTGTGTTTTTAGGTATGGTGCTGCTGCTGGTCATCCTGGTCATCATCCGCTGTTGTTGCTGCTGCTGCTGTGATGACGACAAGGTAAACACATGTACAAGAGAGAACTGACATAAAACACACACTTGTAGCGAGGTGCTGACTCAAGGGCAGAAATCAAAGAGTGGGAACACTAAACACTCAGAACTCGCCATGGAGAAAGGCTGTGTATGAAATCATTCCCTATTTATTATGTAGTGTGCTGTATTTATCCTCCATAGTTTTTATTTAAGTGTCCACAATCTGAGTGCAAATGTATCCCCTATATAGTGTGTCACAAATAAACAGTGAATTGAACGAGTAGAATTACTGCCTCATGGTTGTATGCCCCCACCAACCAGTCAAGTTTCAGTTTACATCCATGTCTGTCCAGACTCGTGTATTCAGGCCAGCCATTAGGAAATACAGGCAGGGGGACAACATTTTCAAAGGTGGGCCTCTCATCCACACCCAGTGGGGGTGGGTGGGTGGATCCCTATACATTTTTACACTTCCTGTGAATATAATCCAATTAATCTTATTTCCATGTATCTACTCTGTGTTAAGACCCTATTTTCTTATTTTGAAAAGCAGAGGTAGTCACGTATGTGTCCTGGGCTGAAAAATGCCCTCCAATGAATGAGGAGAGAAAAGTCAAATCTAGCACTGATTGAGGAAATTACTGCAAGGTATTAAGTTGTAAGATCAAATCAGGAGTGAACAAAGAGGAGTAGAGTATAAGAAGAGTATATGGTTGTCAACTATCAGTTTTCCAGTCATACCCAATTTATGAAATTCAAAGACTGATTAGGGACCCCAGTAAGCAGAAATATTTAAATACACCATTTTTTTAAAAAAGGCAAAATTCCTTTTTCATTCACCAAAATTTAGTGTAAATTTGGAGCGTTATTTGGTTAGTACCAATGGATGCCTTAGGTCATCTAGATTAATATGATACCTGTGTCTTCACTGTAGCTTTAAAACTGAGCCTGATACAACAGGTTTTATTTGATAAAAATTACTCTGCCTCAGCTCTGCCTGTCATACCTGCAACTTCAGTCAGTGATGTAAGTCAGTAAGTTAATTGCTGTACTTGATCCAATTTAAGTGTCAAGTGTCAAGCATAGACCTTTTCATGCCCCCCCCCCCCCCCCCCCCCCCCCCCCTTTGGCCTTGAGCCAGGGTCATCTGTACCCTTTGACCCCCCCTGACAGCGGGCCTGTGTGTAGCTGTTCCAGTAGACAATGTTTCAAATTCAACCTGGCAGCACAGAAGATCTATACATTCACCACAGTCTAAAGGTGGACACCCAAGATTAATGTCACCAGTTCAGTATGTGACCAAATGTCTCCCAGTCTGTTCCTGAGTTATGGCATTGAATAATGGCCAGATACATTATGATGTCACAGGGAAGATGACCTCTGACCTTTTGGATATAAAATTTCATCACTTCACCATTTCATCCAAGTAGACGTTTATGTGAAATGAAGGCATAATTAGTGTCTGAATTCTTGAGTTATGGCTATAAATGTGTTTTGTGAGGTCATAGTGACCTTTGACCACCAAATTCTAAATCAGTTCATCTTTTGAGTCCAAGTGGACATTTTGGCCAAATTTGAAGATATTCCCTGAAGGCATTCCTTAGATATCGCACTTATGAATGAGAATGGGACAAACAGAGAACCTGACAACATAATGCCGCCTGCCATGGCATGGAGGCATAAAAACTGTTTGTGCACAAAAACAAGAGTAGTGTCCATGGAATGTACTGTACACTACTTTTTACTAACAGTCCCTCATTGCAGTGCATTGTATTTGATAGATTTGAAAATTAGCCTTTAGTTATGCTCATTATTGAGTTAACTACGTAACATCTCTTATGTAGGGAGCAGTAAACCAGGGAATGAGGGTATGATTATGGACACAGCCATAGGCCAGTCACAAAGACGCCAAAACATTTTAGAAATGGTCAGGGGCCATCGTGTTTAACCTGTACATCTAGACTGCCTCCCACCTCAGCAGTAGAGAATGTAAGTCCTCAGCACTCCTTGGCATGTCAACCTTTTCATTCGTTGAACCACCTTAGAGGGAGATCCTGTCATGTTGTGAAATGAACAGAAATTGAGCTGAGGTTATGGAGGACTCTTTACTGTGATAATGACAGCTGTGTGTGATTAAAGAAAGATTTCTTTATGCTTCCTCAACAGCCTCGAAGAACGAAGGTTGGCATAGAAAACATGGCTCTGGAGCCCTGACAGCTGAACTGCACTGATCCAGTATTGTGAAGGCTGATGAAGCTACAAGCAGAGCCTTTAAGTCTGACTCCTGTGCCAAAACTTTGATTTTACTGTCACCAGTCTGTAAACAAATTTCACTGACTTGCACATAGAAAGAATCATTCACGTGTCCTTTGGTACCCAGCTATGGAAATCTAACACACGTGATCTTTCTGTCACTGCTGTGTAGAGTTAATTGCTAGGATACAACAGAGGAGCTGGAAACACTCAGCTGTTTATGTTTTTATGTCTCTGTAGATTTGAATGTAACTTCATCTTGTTTTTTTTGTGTGTGAAAAGAGAATGGTAGTTTTAATTTGAAGGTTTTACTTTGTAACAAATATTTAACAATAATAAAAATGTCAACTTTGCTCTATTTATTTATGTGTTGGTCTCTTATTTCTCAGTATGCCATGTTCATTTATGGAACACTTGTCCTAGCTAACAGACACACCAACATTTGTAGAGGACAAAGTACACAAAATCATATGAAGGCATAAATCATTAAACAGGAGATTGATGTTTGTGTTGTTCTGACGACGGCACAAAGGTTTGCAGGCTCAGCCCAGATGGGATCACACAGCTGCTGCCCTGCTCAAACACTCCTCAGTCACCACTTTTGTCTTTAATATTTCACTCTTTCAATGGCCCCTCCAGAAATTTTTCATCAGGGTGGTCAGATGTGGCCCCTTAAAATCTTGGGGTGGCACACCAAGACCAAAAGTCAAAACTGAATTTCAGGAATTCTGCTATATTGTATATAGGCTTGTTGAAAAAATGTCAGTGTATGACTGAAGAGATCACACACTGATATACTTTGGTTTCTTATTTTACAGTTAATATTACTTATCTAATATTACTTATGGTAGGTGATTCATTGTTATTCAAATAGACTGGTTGTTCTTTTCCTTAAAGGATGAATACACAGCTTTAATCTAAAGGAGTACACTGATTGTAAGAAACAAAACACTTACTGGGAACAAGCCTTCCCAAGTTTAGGGGAGATTTTTGGGTACCATAGAACCCATTTACCTGAGGATGTCTTAAGGTGAGAGTTTAAGGGACACCATTGAAAATAACAATGCCAGTTTTTCCCTCGCCAAAATTAAGCCTAAATTTGGAGCATTATTTAGCCCCCCTCCAGACAAGCAGTGCCAACATGGTTGGTATGCCCCACTGGAGTCTGCCTTTAACTGGCATCCAAACACTGTATTTTGCAACTGACCAGTATTTGCCCTTCACAGCTGTGCTAACGGTTGTACTACCTAACTGGGTAAAGAAGCTATCAGGTAACTTAGTTTGCAGTAAAGTACAGCTGATAGCTGAAATAACGTGATGTGGACACGATGATAATGGAGGCTCTGTGCTCCCAACCAGCGCGAACCAAGACGACAACACTCCTTATCATCTTTTATACTGGCACGGCAGTGCATTACTCCTTGGGGGTAGCCACTACACTCTTTAGTAGAACTCAGAGAAGTGTTTATTTCACAGGTTTTCAGCAAAAAATACACATCACCACTGTAAGACATTATGTCATTTCACTACACTGGTTTGTTCACTCCTTTGACAATTCACCATTCAGTCACGTTTCTGTGCAGAGATCTCAGTGATATACCTTTACTGTAACTCTTGCACTGTCCTGGAGAAATACATCTCTTTGCTGTTTTCAGAAAAGAAATAAAGCATTACTCTGCATCTGTCCAACCTTAAAATATAATTTAACTCCTGAGGTACATGTCTATAGAACACCAAAGTGTTCAATATAAAATAAAAGATACTTAAAAATGCTGCTAACATATGCATCAGTATTCATGGTCTAACACTACATCAGTCACTGGGACAATTCTGCTGCACAATGAGGACTTAAACATTTGGTACATTTTGCTGATGATTGTACTAACTAGTGTCTCATGTGAGGAGACACATTTTTCTTCATCAGGAACAAGAAACTAAAGCACAGCTGGTAGAAATTTATTTAACCAGTGGAGACAAACTGTCATCTAATGAGACACCTTTAGCCTCACTGCAGCAGTCAGCAAAGGTTAAGAAAGAGAGTTTGACATGTACAAGTCACTGTTTAGAATATTTTTATTGCACAGATATCAGATAAATAATTTCCACATTTTATATGATAGGCAGCTTTTCAACATAGATTAACACTTACTGGAATGAAGTCATTTGTTCATGATTGGATTAGCGTTTGGTTCAGAATCAAAGTGTGCAAACTGTGTCAAATAAATATGAACATAAAGCAGACAAAAACTTGAAATCAAAGAATGCACCAACATACATGTGAAGTAGCTTATCGTTTAGACATATCCATGTTGTAACAAGCAGGGAATGTGAATTGTGTCATTTCCACCAAATGGGGAAATAAACAATAACAAAAAACAGGCAAACAAAAAACAAAAAGCATGATCCCAGTTCCAGTGTCCACCCTAATGCCATGTTAATATCATACTGGAATTATCAGAGTTTACAACTTATAAAGAGCAATTACATCAACATCCAAGTTATAATTACGAATGGGAAACCCAAATTTTTCTGAAAGCTCTGACACATCCAACCACCCACTCACTGATACGGACATGCCTGAAAACCACATATGAAAAGATTATTGTTCGATGTCATTAAACCCAGACTTAATGGATATGGTGTTATATTATAAACGCACAGTATTTCTACCTCTCAATGACATGAATGCTGGCAAGACGTAAACATGGGTATCTTTCCCACGTCTTCCATCCATCCCATGTGATGTACACATGGCCTCGCATTTTAACTGACTTCACCTTTGTGATCAACTCTGAGGTGAAACACCATGGCTCATCAAATTGTATCTGGAAGGGCCGACATTGAAACTGGTCCACAAGCAGGTGATACTGTACCGTCAGTGAATGAAGAAAATATGTTTCCTCATTCACTGATGGTACAGTGTCATCTGTCACTGACATGTTTGTATCCCGTAAAAGATCACAGTGGGAAATGTTTTCCTTTTCCATTTATTATTGCATCCCCTAACAGCTGAGAGTTCCCCCCCCTGACAATTTTTTTGCCTTCTCTTTATGATACCATTGCATTCCCCATAAACTGTGCAACACCCAGCACAAATAACATATATTTACATTAATATAGTTTGGGGACCTCCAACATAAAAAATTACAAAAGAACAGTTAAAATTTGTGTAGTAGAGGTTGAAATAGCCTTAGTTTTGGTTCCTAATATAGGTCCAAAAACACTCTAACACATCCCATAACGCAACCCAACAATATCTTTTGTTAGACCCTCCTTTCTAGTAAATGCACACTTCTTTCCAATGCCACATTTCCAATTTCTAACCCACACTTTTCTTAGAAATTATTGGGCTCCATACCCAAACTAAGGGTGTTTTCTAACCTGTGTAGTTTAGTCCAGACACTCGTTTTCCCTCTTAGTGCGATTGGTTGAACACAGCAATTGTACATGGGTAAATTAGCTTTAGAGACCAGGCTGTAAACATGTTTATCACTGCTGTTAAATTGGGCATTTTAACATGGGGGTCTATGGGGAGTGACTTGCTTCTGGGGCCAGCCTCAAGTGGCCATTAGAGGAACTGCAGGTTTTGGCACTTCTGCATTGACCTCAGTTTTTAGCCCTGGAGATCACTTTTCCCTTTTTTTTTTTTTTTTTTTTTAAAAGTTTGAGCTAAATGGCTCCCATAGACAAATTTGCATTTCCTAGGATAGAGAAACATGACCTGCCCTACTCTGTCAGAGTAAGCCAATGAGAGGCAGAGGAAGACATTCTTACCCTAACCCTAACCGTTCGCACTTCTCTTACCTTAACCTAACCAATCCAACCAACAACGGCATTGAGTACTAGCCAATCAGAGGGAGAGTAGGGTGGGTGATGCCTTCGCTATCCTACGAAACGCAAATTCACCTCCCGTAGCTAGGTGAGCTTTGCATTCTGGGATACGAATGAGTGAAATTACATGTTCTTAGCAACTGGCTAGCGAAGGAATGAAAGTCTGCACTGGACCAGCAACCAAGTACATTGTTTTCCCAGTATCTGTGCAGATAATAGTTTCCTCCAGACATTTTGTAATGATGTTTGTGTAAATCCAACAGTTTACCAATTCATTCAGAGCCAACCAATGATAAGTTTGAAAACATCCCAAGATTTTTCGTGTGATGTCACTTGTCTTCTTAGACTTGACAAATCTCCTCCAGAGCCACAGAAGATATTATAATGACTTGGTGGTGCTCAACAGGACTACAAAAATTGAGTTTCGCATGTAAAATTGGTGGATTGCCTTTTTGGAGAAAGTATGACTGTAATGTCAGGGAATGCAAAAAGATGAGGAAATTTCAAAACAGCTGTGAGGGAACTCACAGCATTTCAGACCACCATGACCTCTTAGTACTGCTGAGTCTTCCAGCCCTGAGTGAACATATTAGTGTTCCACACAACAACACAGTTCGGAGGATAACTTTGGGACAAGAACCAGAAAAATACTCAGTAAGTACTAGTAAATAATTCTAATAAGAAACAATCACATTCATTCAATGAGAAGTTCAAGTCAGTGGTATGAGATGCAACACACATCAGTCAGTCAGTCAGTCAGTCAGCTGGGAATATTGTTATCTGTTGGGGTTTGATTTGCTCCTTCAGCTAACCATGCAATACTTGAAACTGAAGGACTGGATGATAAATATAATTATATATAAAAATAAAAACCTTCCTAGGATGTCCCTTACACTTGTGTGGTTAGTTTGGGTCTGACTGGTCTCCAGACAATGGACAGGATTAGAAAGGTCTGTAGTTCCAGAAACTGGAGAAGACAGATATCTGTGGAGATGGAACGACAGGGAGGCTTAGTTAGATTTATACACAATTACACATGCAAAGTTAATTATCTAACAATCAAATGGTCAAAGCTTGCATACACCTGTCTAGTCATATACTGCTTTTCAAGCTAATGGTAGCCCTCAAATAGTCACTTCCTCAGTAGCCATTTCTACGTCAGACAGAAGCTTTGACAGTCAGCAGATCCCTGGACATCGGGAACAGAATCAAATATCTAAGAACTGTAATGGAGAGCGACCCTGAAGCTGCGTTAACTGATTTTTTTTGGCCACTTAGAGGCAGCAAAACAAGCTGACATATTATCACCTTATAAAGTCACCTGTTTAAGTCATACAGTACCAATAGTAGGGGTGGAAATTACCAGAGGATCCACGATACGGTATCATGATACTTAAGTCACGATACAATATTACTGCGATCTTAAATATGTTGTGATATGCTGAATATTGCGATAAAATGTATTGCAATACATTTCCTTTTTTTCAACTGTTAAGTGTGTCCTCAAAGGAAAACTTTGTCATTATCTCTTTTATTTAATAAGATAAAGTTTTAAGTCTGTTCATCTCACTTTAGCCATTTTGTTTGCAGCAGCAAAATGTATCTAGTGGACTGAAAAACCAGGCAACCTAAGGTTTGATCTGTTTTTGCCATAACAGTAATTTACATAATAAAAAATCTATACTTGGCACTGTGTGACGATACGATATTGCCACACAAACATATAGCAAAACTATGCTGTATCGATGTTTTCCCCACCTCTAACCAGTAGTATTTCTTTAAAATGCTATTAGTGTTCACCTGATGAATCTAAGTCTAGTATTCACTCTCTTCTTTGGTCTCCACCAACTCTTGGGAAAATATGTGGCTAAGAATCTTTAGGAATATTATTGTATGTTACTGTCATTTTACAAGTACACTCCAGGAGTGCCACTTCTGGTCAGTGCAATTAATGCAAGTAATAAGACAAATTAAAGACAGACGACAAGCACTCATTTAATAAATATGAAATTAAAAGAAATACTATAAAAAGGATAGATATGCATAAAAAGGATGGAGTTTGGACTTAAAAACATGTGTATTGCTCTTAAAAACACAGTATATCGCATTTAAATGATATACAGAATAACAGTCCAATCAGAATAAAAATGCCTCATGAAGGAATTTTCAATCAGGTTGAGTGGTGGCGTAAACCTTTGATAATCTGTTCACTAGGAAAACACTGGTAATTAATAACCATGTAAACATTGATCTGATTATTGCTCTCTGGTTGGAACTACTATGTATTACTTCTGCACGTTAGTGCTAGTGCTGCGCTCTCATAAGAGTGCTCTGACTGATAATAAATGTATTCTTTGATTTGATTTAATGAGTAGCCTGATGTGGCATTGTTACGGGCTAAATTGTGGAGTTGCTGGACACAACAACCATCTATCACAACCAGCAGCAGTTGCCTGCACATGAGATGTTTGACATCAGTAAATTGTAGTATCTACATACAGTCTACATGTGAGGTGTTTAAGGGACACTTGTAATTTGTAGCTATGAAAATAACCTGGGTTACACTTAAGATTACTTACTACTGACTTAATACCACCTAATGCAAATCAAAAAGTTACACTGGGGCATAAATGCCCATCTTTTTCAGGATGGATATCGTTAGGATTTAATCGATACCACTACTCTCATCAATACTCCTTATCAGTTTGTTTCTTCATCGATACTCTTATAGGTTGTTTTTCATTACTAAAGAATTGCTTTTAAAGGGCCAATGTGTAAAATGGGTTGAAAACCGTTGAAAACAGTGACATCAGTGGTCAAATTCTAGATTGCAGGGCTCAGTCGCTCACCCTGCCCGTCGGGTAAATGACGGTGGCCTGGTAGGGACAAAAAGCCTTGCGCAGACATGAGTTTTTCAGGAGTAGGTCTATCTATCTATCTATCTATCTATCTATCTATCTATCTATCGAGCTCAGCTGTTTATTTAGCCTAGCACTATCTCCGGACTACAGTAGCTGCAATGGACGACTTTGAACGCGATTTTGAAGAGTTTCTTGTAGCAGACACAGACCCAGAGCCATACCTATTTGAGCCGGAGCATACAGATGAGCAACTTGGATACTGAACGGGCGAGAAGAGAGGCTGAATCCTCCGCTCCCATTTTGCTGCACAGAATGGGATTCAGTGCTACTGCTACCATCGCTGGGGAGATATATCATCAGGAGGAAAAGCGCCGCAGAGAGTGCATCACAAGGAGTGAAGTTGCGTCTTCTTTTCCTCGCAGATGACGGTTCGGGTTCATTCTCTCCTGCTGCGTGGTAAGTGTGGTCCATTCGCAAACTTTATAACTAAAAAAACATTTCACTACTCTCTATCGACAAACTAATAACACTCTCTACTGTTTCCTCCTCCTTCTTCCTTCCTTCCGCTGTCTTCGTTGGTTCATTTATCCACGCGAAACACGTTCTCTGGCTGGCTGGATTGTCCGCTCGGTCTGCCGTACATACATGGCGGCGCAAGATGGCGACCTCTCTAAAGCAAGGCCCTTGCTATATATATATATATATAAAAGCATAATTATAAGGCTACGAAAACCAAACGAATTTTATTTTATAGCGATTATACACTTATAAACATATTAATGGGTAGAATATTCAGATTCAGATTCAGATTTGACAATAAACCATGCCAAATATTACACACTGGCCCTTTAAAGAATATTATTTAAAAAAGTATAAATTAAGAACAGGATTATATTCTAAATATAACTAAATGTCGTTTCAAGAGCCCCTAATTCACTTTCACAACTCTTTAGTTAATATAAAACTATTGATTAGGGCAGCAAGTTGTGTTACTTTAGGATTCATCAAGTTAAAAAATGTATGTTCAGAGTCATCTTTCAAGAGACACCCACCTTGTCCTTGAGCTGCTGACAGAGCTGCAGTGAGATGGTGAAGAATACCAGCGTATCATTGAGCCAAGGCACCACACACTCTACCTTGTGAACGTGGCTCACCTCAAAGCGGTTGTTGTTGAGCTCGCTGTGGAAGGAAAAGTGTTCACAGCAGACAGCAAAGATTAAAGAAACCTTAAAGATACACTGGCTAAATGTGGTACACTGCCTGATAGAGCCCTGCAAGTGGCATAATTGGCAAAATTGTGCTTACTGTTACTAACCCTAAGTTAATGGTTAAACAAGTAAAAGATAAACTGAGTTTTCAACATTTTAAAACGATTAGTGTGTTATTTTTGTTTTGTACAATTTTAGAGTCAAAAAAAGGGAAGGAGCACCATACAAAAGTTTAGGCACTCCAAGACATTTGAGCTCTCAGACAACTTTTACCAGGGTCTCTCAAACAAGAACTGAAAGACTCTTAGCTGGTTACAAGAAGCTGTGATACTTGCCAAAGGGGGCGCTACCATGCACGGTGCCCAAACTTTTGCTTCTGGCCCTTTTCCTTTTTGGTTATTTTGAAACTGTAAAATCTTTAAATTAATAAGTAATCTTGCTTAAAATATTGATGAAATGTGTCTTTGTGCCTTTTGAAGGTAAGTTAATCTCCTACTTACCTAACTACAAGCAGTAAACGAAATTTTGACAGGGAGGGCCCAAGCTTTTGCATGCCACTGTATTTCTTCATTTTTTTTTTCATTAACTATATATTGATATTTTTTAATGTGTTCACTGTGTATGATTAACTTAAATCTGTTTATGTATAGTCTGTGACTATGGAAGGAGAGAAAGAGGGAAAGAAAGAAAGAAAGAAAGAAAGAAAGAAAGAAAGAAAGAAGACTTACAACATGGCTCCAGGGTTGTGTAACACTGAGCTTCCAGCTGGTTTGAAATTCTGAAGAAGGTGAGAGATAGAACATGACACATCAGTAACATGATGCTGTGTGAGGCTTCAGACACTGTTGCTGAGCCACAGCTTCTAACCTTGGTGGTGTTGGGAGGCAGCACATGAAGCTGGTAGACAGTCAGGCACAGTTTGCTTAGGTTGATGTAGAAGTTCACCATCACATCCCCAGGCATGGGAGGAGTGAACATTTTCTGGGGATTGAAGGAGACAAACAGAGACAGTAAACAGAGAAGGAAGAGGAACATGGAATAACACTATCAGACCTCATGATAAATTAACCCACATTGTCTTTGTGTGTGTGATGTACTTTGTCCAGAGTGCACTGACGAGTTTATTTTTCAACTATAAATTGTTCCCCCTCACTAAAACTATATGGACAAGCTAATGTTTCACCCATGTGTGATAGGTGAACATGTGATTAATGAGCATCAAAGGGAAACCTTGCCAATTTTCAACCAGGTCTGAGTCACAGAGGTGTGGGAATGTGCGTAGATGAACAGTGTTTGGCTTTCCTCCGTGCCTGCAGCGCTGCCCCTGCCATGAGCAAACATGTGACTGACGACACAAAGTGCATCATTTCATCAATGCCAAGTTTCCGTCACTTGGAGGAATTTGACAGGTGGACAGGCGGGGAGTTTGCGCATCTGCACTCACTCCCCACACCTTGGTGACACAGACCTGGTTGGAAATAAGCAAAGTTTCCCTTTAAACTGCTGCAGTACACTCTTCTGGTTTCAGCCTTTCTCCCAGATGTTAGAACCTGGCTGCAGGGACTCGCTCCCATTCAGACACTAGAGCACCGGCTAGGTCCAACACTGATGTTGGGTAATCAGAGGCCTGTACTTCGAAGCTGGATTTTGAGAAAGCAAGGGTTTTTATGAAGTTTGTTCACTTTTTCACAGTGGAAACAGTTCACAACCTGTTAATACCCTGACCACTGAGCAATCAGATCACTGGAAAAAATGATCTGTGGACAAAAGTCCTGAGTGACAAGTAAAAACAAATTGACTTAACAAGGGCAGCATCTATGCACTCGACACAGTGGGTGGTGGTACATGTACCTTTAAACCTGGTTTGCAAGCTGCCAATAAACACAGAGAAGAATAAGAACAACAACTGCAGCACTCTGTCTAAAGGGCAAAGCATGTTGCAGTGTCGACGTCTTTACAGTTCCAGAGGAAGACAACAAGACTGTGCCAAGGGTCTAATCTCTGACTGCACGACATCCCACCAGCTCAACAAACTTCCTGCAGCTGTTAAACAGGTTAGACAGAGCTCTGAAGGACCGTCTCCAGAGTGTTAGCACAGGCTAATTAACAGCAGCAGCTTACATCCAACACCAAGGTTTTAAAAGGCCCGACTCTGTTGTTAAACTTATTAATAACCGCCATGTGATACTACACTTATTTATATCCTCACCTGGCAACGCAGTCTGGAGCCCATCACTCTCTCTAGCTGCGTGCGTGTGTGTGTGTGTGAGACACAGCTGCTTGTTTGTCTGGGTTAATTGTTAATGTGTGAGGTGAATCAATAGTACATCGCTAATCTATTTGGTAGCTGTAGGCGATTCTATCCAGGGACGGTGAGACAGCGCCTGGATAGAATTTATAAAAATGCAGAGTGACAATATAAACTTTTCATACATCAGATGTAACGCGGACTTGCTGATGCCAACCCATTCATATGAGTCAGCTGTCTCTGTTTGTCTCTGTTAGTAGAGACTCCACCCTGCAGTGTAGTTTATACACTTCACTGATACACCAGAGACTTACACAGTAACACTGGGCTTCATCATTTCCCTCTCTCTTACCATTAACTATACATTTAATACTGATTAAAAGTAATTTTGCTTTCACATCCTTTATTTATTATATTCACCTGTAGTGTAGGGTTATATTGGGGCAGGGGCATTGGGGGTAGGCCATTTGACAATACCCCAGAAAACCTCCCTTTTTTTCACAGCCTAATGTTGGCAGATATGGAAGAGTGATGGTGATGTTGGTTTGATTTGGTTAGGTCAGGACTATGGAATATTAAATCATCCATACTTTCTCACTACATCTCAGCCTTTCTTACCCTCAGGTGTACATAAACTACAGATTATAAACTTCTTTTTAAAATTCAAAAAAATGTAAAAAAAAAAAAAAAAAGTCCACATCTGTGCATCCCTTCTTTACACATATTTTGTAATACCTATACAAATTTTTAGCCTTGGCTTACTTTTAAGATTTGGAAATTATTTCTAGTCTTCTCTGTTGTAAAATTATAGACTTAAGTTTACATTTCACTTTGATAAATGGAACTTTTTGCTGTCCCTGAAGCATAACTTTCCCACAGATAATTATTATCACTGTTTCATCTCATATAACGTAAAGCTGGCTACATCATTAATGGTTCTGATGATGTCGATTGTAATCAACAACCTCTTTCACACCCACTTGTGGCTGGATAGGAAACCCCAAAGTCAACTTCTTCAGTAACCAGAAATTCTTATCAAATATATTTGTTTTTGTAACAACTTTGTCAAAAAATATTGGCTGGTATCTACTTCATTATCAGATTTTATCAGAACACTTTCTGCCCCAAAGATCCATTGTTAGTCATACTCTGGTCCTCAGTGTGTTAAAGCAGTGTGTGTATCCTAAAGCAGTGTGTTAAAGCAGTGTGTGTATCCTATGTCCTGTACCATCAGACCACTGGTGGCCAGCTCGGGCAGCGTCATGGAGGCCGGCGTAGTGAGGCGGTTTCGTGCTCTTGTCAGCTGGAGCATCACTGCATCCATGAGCTATGCCAGAAATAGAAACATGAAGCTGGTATCAATGACACAGTAAGCTACTGCGATGACATCCATGTTCAGCTCTGTACTAAAAGGAACAGGGCATGGATGCCATGAAGAGACAGGACCTACCTTATTAACCTCAGCCCCTGTCTTGAAGTGGTAGCTCTCATCACGGCTGCTCAGGAGCTGTAGGGCCTGGTTCACATGGTTCCTGGCATCCTGAATCTGATGGATGAATAAAGACAAGAGAACGGTGGCACTGTGAGAAGGATGAGTAAGGCAGAATTAAGTACAATTTGCATAAAAAAATTAACATTTTATATTTACAGCCAAGACAAGAAGGCAAGCCAGACATATTAGACATCAGACATCAGCGTTGGCATTTCTATGGAAACCCAGTATTCATGTTAAAAGGATAGTCCGGATTTTCAAAAAATTAAGTCCATTTTCAAAAAAGGGGTCCCTGTATGACCAAAATAAGAGCTACATCCACGAACTCAGCGTAAAGTCAAACATGTTCTCAGTGGGTGTTGGCCTGGTGTGTCCTTCATGGACAGGATCTTGAGGCGCAGCTGGGGGGAGGAAAGGATCCAGTTTGGGGATTTCAGAATTGCATCTCTGCTTTTTGCAGATGATGTGGTTCTGTTGGCTTCAACACACCGTGACCGTGATAGGTGGTTTGGCACAGCATCTGCAGGGATGCAGGCACTACAGCAGATCATCATGGTGAAGAGGGAACCAAGCTGGAAGGCAAAGCTTTCAATTTACTGGTTCATCTATGTCCCAACCTTCACCTATGGCCATGAGCTTTGGGTAGTGACCAAAAGAATGAGATCACGGATACAAGCGGCCGAAATGAGTTGCTTGGCCTGCTGCCTCTGTGACCTGGCCCCGGATAAGTGGATAAAAATAGACGGATGGATGGATGGTTGTATGGGGTACTTGTCTATAGTCAGTGTATTACATACAGTAGATGGCAGTGGGCACACCCCCAGTTTGGAGAATGTACTGCTGTGAAGAGGTCAGCAACAAAACATATTTTGGCCACAATATCAGTCTAAGTGTTAGCTTACGCTATCACGTGCACGAGCCTCTCATACATGACTAGATACGCACTTCCTCCTGCACAGTGATATGATTGGTGGGTACGGTTCAGCCGAAAATAGTTCCAAGAAATTATCTGCTTTGTGGGCTTCAACAAACAAAATAGGCTGTAAAATCAAATGCAACTTTCAATGGAGAATTATTATTTTAAAGTAAGATTTTAGCAAAAACAACACATTGTAGGTAGGGGTGTAACGATCAATCGATCTGGATCAATATACCAATTCTTTGATCAACACTCCAGTATCGTTGATGCAAAGTTAAAACATCAATCTGAATCGTCATCTTTAAGATACAATTTTATTTTAATAGTTGTGTCACTGTCAAACAGCGGCAGCCAGATGCCAAGATGCCAAGAAGCCAAGAGAAAGACGATGAGGATAACGATATTTACTCAGGAATAAATCAGCAGTGTGGCAATACTGTTGTTTTCAGAGAAAAAAGGGGTCAACAGACAGAGCACATACCGTACATAGACAATGCCCTTATGAGAAAAAAAAAAAAGATATAAAATTACCTGCCTAGATGGGCATCTCTCTATGCTATCGTCTCACTAGAGCAACATTAGCTGCTATGTTTTAACAATGTCGGGCTGAAAAATGTGCATGCAGGCTGAAATTCAAACTTGCTGTTCTGTTGGGAGATGACTTAGAAGTGACTTAAACCAAAAGTGAATGAGAAAAAGTATACATAATACATGCAATTTATTAACTTATGAACGGAGGAAAGTCTACTAGCCGCTAGGCTAATTTATGCAATGTAAACATGCTGAGCTAATAATGGGTGACTAGCAAAGATAGCTATTATATCTATGAACCCTGACAGTTACAATAACTGAGCTGAATTTGATATTTCTGTTAAATGATGTTGCTGTTAATCCATGTTTTATGGCTGTTGGAAGAAGTTTGCCTTCAGGGTTTTAAGCCAGATAGACCTGAGGTTTTATAAAAGAGAATGGTTTGAGTTCAAATTAAAACATTTCTTCCAGAAACGACTTTCTGGAAGAAAGCCCTGAAGGTTAATTTATCCCATGAGCTGTTTTATGTGTGTTAGTGAAGTCAGTATAAAGTAAATTTTGCCAAAAGCATTAAACAAAGGGGTGGCAGCCTCTTCTGTAATCAGTTATGTTAAATGGGCAGATGATATTGTCTCATATCAATCGCAGGCCCCTGAATCGCATCGTATCGAAATCATATTGTGGCAGACTTTGTAATATTGACAAATATTGTACCGTTGTCCAAAGAACTGACATGATACTGTATCATGATGAAACCAATGATTTATACATTTTAATCTTTATATAGTTTTACACTGTCAAATGTTCATTGTAGTAGACAAAAAGTGGAAAAACTCCTTATGGGTGGAAAAAAACTGACAACCCTCATAGCTACAGCCAAACCTCACTGTTATGCCTCCATTGTTCTGGAAGCATTACATACTAACACACTGTACCTGCTGCAGTTTCCACTGCTTGTCCTCTCTGAACTGAAAGTGCAACACTTGGCTGCTCTTTGCAACCTTCAGGTTTATGTCCTGTTAAAAAAAGCAAAACATTATCAAGGGACAGATTTATGGTAAATGAGTGTTTCAGCTTCTCATAAGGAGAACACAGCCTCAGTGAGAACTAGACAAACTCACCGCCTGAGTCAGAGCCTCTCCTTGCAGAGTCAGCACCCCTTTCACTTGATCCATGCTGCAAAACAACACATCACATTTGTATTACACATCGCCAAAACAACAATAGCTAAAAACAGATAATGGCAAGGGAAGTTTATAGTGTGTGAGGGAGGGCACCCACTCTGAAAGATTACAACATGAAGGAAATGACAAACCCAGTCATTCACAGAGCATCTGACAGCCACTTCCCCTACAGGAAAGCATTGTTATGTAACAGACATGACCTCCTGATAACGCTACTGACTAGCTAACCATTGTATTTTATACATTAAGGCCACAGTAACTGTACAGTTGCATCTCAAAAATTAAAATATCATGGAAAAGTTCTATTTTCTATTATTTAATTTACATAGGAAAACTTTCATATATGCTAGATTCATTACACATAAAGTGAAATATTTCAAACCTTTTTCTTGTTTTAATTTTGATGATTATGGCTGGCAGCACATGAAAATCAAAAATCCAGTTTCTCAAAAGTTTAGAATATTACATAAAACCAATCAAAAAAAGGATTTATAATACAAAAGTGTCGACCCTCTGAAAAGTACGTTCATTTATGCACTCAACACTTGGTCGGGACTCCTTTTGCACAAATTACTGCATCAATGCGGCATGGAGATGATCAGCCTGTGGCACTGCTGAGGGGTCATGGAAGCCCATGTTGCCTTGGTAGCTGCCTTCAGCTCATCTGTATTGTTGGGTCTGGTGTCTCATCTTCCTCTTGGCAATAACGCATAGATTGTCTGTAGGGTTTAGGTCAGGCGAGTTAGCTGGCTAATCAAGCACAGTAACACCATGGTCAGCAAGCCAGTTACTAGTAGTTTTGGTACTGTGGCCAGGTGTCAAGTCCTACTGGAAAAGGAAATCAGCATCTCCATAAAGCTTGTCAGCAGACGGAAGCACGACGTGGTCTCTAATCTCATGGTAGACGGCTGCGTTGACTTAAGACTTGATAAAACACAGTGGACCAACACCACCAGATGACATGGCACTCAGAATCATCACTGACTGTGGAAACTTCACACTGGACATCAAGAAACATAAGCCCCACTGCCAGATTTTCCGCAAATGTTGGACCGTTTTGCCGGCAAGCTGCAAGCGTTTAGATACACAGAGCCGGATTGGCGAGTTGATCTGAGGTGCCCAATTTTCCACCTCGTGGGGTAGTCATATTGGCGGAACCCTTTTAGTTTAAAAACAGGGAGGCGGCCTCCTGCAACGGGAGGGGCTGTTGAAGACTTGTGAGAGGAGCTGTTGATGACGCCGCACGTGCAAGCCACTGGCAGTGGATAAACAGGAAGCAGCTGATAACAGGAATGAGCAGCTAGTAGCAAGAGGGAAACGCAAACCTGACAGACACTGTAAAGATGAGAAACTGGGGAGACAAGGAATTGCGCGCCCTCCTTGCCCTTGCAAATGAAGAGGCCATTAACCGTCAGATGACGGGGACGGTGAAGAGCAGGCCAACTTATTAGAGAATTGCGGAAGGTCTGACTAGCTGCGGCTTCCCTCCCACATCACTGTTTACGTCACACGCTGAGCTACACGTTTTGTTACTTGCTCACGCCCCCCATTGCCCTGGAAAAGGTGCATTCTGTATAAACAAAAGTAGGAAGGCAGCATTTTGCCGCACTCCCTGATTTTGTTTTTATACTGCCAATTCTGAAAAATGACTGATTGGGCTTTCCATTGCACAATTCCTATCTAAAAAGGGCTATGGATCTGCGCCTCCCTACTCCTCCTCTATACTCTGGAACCTTGATTTCCAAATGAAATACAAAATATATATTTATCTGAAAAGAAGACCTCGGGCCACTGAGCAACGGTCCAGTTCTTTTTTTCCTTAGCCCAGGTAAGATACTTCTGACATTGTCTCTGGTTCAGAAGTGGCTTGACACTACCAATACAACTCTTGTAGCTCCTTTCCTGGACACGTTTGTGCGTGGTGGCTCTTGAGCCTTAGTCCATTCCTTATAAAGCTCCCCCAAGTTCTTGAATCGGCTTTGCTTGACAACCCTCTAAAGGCTATGGTCACCCCTGTTGCTTGTGCACCTTTTCCTACCATACTTTTCCCTTCCAGTCAGCTTTTCATGAATATGCTTTGATACAGCACTATGCGAACAGCCAGCCCTTTCAGCAATGGCCTTCTGTGGCTTACCACAGTCAGTGAGTGTCTTCTGGATAAGTGTTAAGTCAGCAGTCATACGCATGATTGTGATTCTGTGTACTGAACCAGACTGAGAGCTTAAAGGCTCAGGAAACCTTTGCAGGTGTTTCAGTTTGTGTGAATCTGGAGTTCATACAATTTTCACTTTATGAAATAACTGACGTGAAATTTTAAACCTTTTCACATTATTCTATTTTTTTGAGATGTACCTGTACACCATAAAGAGCTACACTTATACAGTTACACTTATAATAAAATAATCAAAGGTGGAGTATTACGTTGAGCTGCCGAGGATGAAGTTTTCCTGTTTGAGCTGACTCTCCAGGCCTGGCGTCGGCATGGAGAAACGTCTAGATGCCTCCTGTTGATGGCAGAGCAAACTTACTATTAGATTGGATTACCAATTCTACAGACTGAATGTTTCTAATCTATAATTCTTTAAACCAATTACAACTGTTTAACACCTACTGACAATTGACTGGGTCAATGCAATATCATTTATCAATTTCCTCTGGTTTTTTTTTGAAGAAAGAGTTCTTCAAAGGTTCTTTGAGTTTCCTTGATATCCTAAGAACTCTCTTTGGAGCAAAGACTTCTTTCAGGATTTTTGAAAGTGTGGGTGCTAAAAGTATCTCACTCTCAAATATTCAAATGTTTCCCATGTACCAAATGGTACTTTTAAAGTGTAGGTGTATCTGGAATCCCCTTAATCATTTAGTTTTTATGCCACACAATATCACATGGTCTGCTGAAATTCTTTTGGTCTTCCAGGTACCCAGTACTTGGCATTTTGTATTCCCCCTTGTAATGCCTCCTTTGATAAGTATCACAGCTTCTAAATGTTTTTTTGTAGCCAGCTAAGAGTCTTTTTTTTGTTTGGGGGAGATTATTGGGCCATATAGCATGCACTGTTCTTCTGAGGTCTATTACAGATTATTTATGATGTTAACATCGGGGGACTGTGAAGGCCATGGCAAAACCTTATGCTTGCGCCTCTTGAGGTAGTCCATTGTGGATTTCAAGGTGTATTTGGGATCAATGTCCTGTTATAGCAAGCAATCTTACCTGAATCCATTCTGTCCTCTACCCATGAAATGTTCCCCATGCCACTGACTGTAACACAAGCTCAAAGAACTATCGAACTACCACCATGTTTAACATTTGAACAGGTGTTCTTTTAATGAAATTCTGCACCCTTTTTTCTCCAAACATACCTTTGCTTATTGCGTCCAGAAAGTTCTATTTTAACTTCATCAGTCCACAGGACTTGTTTCCAAAAAGATCAGGCTTGTTTCAATGTTACTTTGCAAAGTTGTGAAGCTGAATTTGCAGTGAGGACACAGGAAAGGTTTTCTTCTGATGACGCTTCCATGAAAGTCATATTTGTACAGGTTTCACTGCATAGTAGAACAGTGCACCACTACTCCAGAGTCTGATTAATCTTCCTGCAGGTATTTTGCAGTCAAACAAGGTTTCAGAAGTCAGAGTATTTATAAAGCTTTGAAATTTGCATCACTTGGTCTTTCCTAACCATGATTGTGAACAAACCATAGCCCTAACAAGCTAATTATGGTCTGAGACCCTGATAAAACTTGTCTGAGAGCTCAAACGTTTTAGGGTGCCTAAACTTTTGCATGGTGCTCCTTTTCTTTTTTCCACTCTAAAATTGTACAAAACAAAAATAATACTCTTATCTTGCTTACCTTGTTGAAAAGCATGTTTCACTTTAACTTCATGCCTTTTGGAAATCAGTTCATCTTCCACTTACTTAACTACTCACAGTAAATGAAATTTTGATCAGGGGTGCCCAAACTTTTGCATGCCACTATATCATAGAAGGGTTCTCTGTATAATCTCTCAAAGGGGGTTCTGCATCGAACCTGACACAAATGGTTCATCTATACCCATTTTCCATCCAATTAGCTCTGGTTCTTGAACTGTTTTCATTCACAAGTTTTGGAACTTTGTTGCTATCTAACCAACTGGCACGTTTCTATCAGTTTTGCATGGAACCATTGTAATTGAGGACATGTTATCAATGGAGGACGAACATTTATTAACTATGAACATTTGTCCTGTTAGTACGTATATTTATTTTTACCCAAAAAACATGCATGGACCAACTATATCAATGAGACCACTGCACCCTCTTTTTTGTCTAGAGATTTCTTACTTCTCCATCCTCTCTTTCCAACCTGTAAAATATGACACACCCACTGACCTGCTATTTTTCAGTTTCAGGTAAGAACCAACTTTTGGGGTTCTGAACCAATTTATTTTCTGTCAAAATGGTCTGAGTGGTTCAAAATCATGTGCGAGAACTGTAACGGAACCAGTTCCATGTTGGTGGAAAAGGGACAAGAGTGTTTTGGGTGGAACCATTACAGAAGGGTCCTCTGTAGAGCCTGGCATTGAGGGTTCTGTGTCAAACCTTTTTCAGATGGCTCTAGGTATATCCCTTTATGTTGGGTTCTGAGTAGAACCCACTGACTGTATAAATGGACATGACAACTCCCCAAAAGTAAAGCCAAAACATCTGGCTTGCCCTCTGGTGGTTGGCTAAACTATAGATCATAAACCCCACTCCTTCCATATTAGAGGATTGGGTATGGGCCAAACTAAAATGTATAATAATACTAATAATAATACTTCTTATCATGCTGCTGTTCCTTTAAGTGTTTGTTTTTCTGATAAGGTTTGGTTTCTGATTAGTTATTTGGGTGCTTGATGTCATGATTGAAAGCTCAAGATCAGTGGCGCTGCTCGGAATTGGTCAGGTGTATTGGCAGAAACTCCATATTGCGGAAATCACTACTGCACAGACTCTGGCTTCAAATGATGTCACCAGTGGTGTAGTGGTAGTTGATGAGGTGGGTGTACTACTCGGTAGATAGGTAGGTTACTGATGAGGAAGTAGGCATACTCTCCTATATATTACAATGGCTTTTTAGCTGATAGGTGGGTATACTGTAACTGGATAGAAAAAGAAGTGGGTATACCCTGTGTACCTGAGTATACCCTCCACTACACCACTGGATGTCACCAGTGCAAGATGGCAGCAGCTGTATCTGGGATATTTTGGCTTAATTTTTGTACAGTGGGAGGAAGTGGAGATATGTTGTCCATCTTTGTATACAGTCTAATGGTAGAACCCTCCAAAAGGGTTCAAGGTGGCACCTTTATAAAAGATTTTACCAGGAACCAAACAAAGTTCTCCTATGGGGACAAGCCAAAGAACCCTATATGGTTTTAATAAGTGCATTTATTTCTAAGAGTGTATGATGATGATAAGCTCATCATCTTTTTGTTATAAATGTTAAGTCTTCAAGCCTCAGACTTAATAAGGACCTACAGATGATATTATACTACTGTTTTCAAAGGCTGAGTTGTACTAACCATTACAAATAAATCTTCACGTGTAGAATTGGCAGAATGACCCTTTAATAGTGTGATATAGATTTCAGTCCTAAATACAGCATATACATGAAGGCTTAACTTTTACCTTGAGGACATCCTGGAGCTGCTTTAAGACAGCATGCACCTCTTCTTTAAGCAGCCAGTTGAACTCCTCCTCCTACCAAAAGGTTTCAATAAACATTAAACTCGTACAGGAAAATGAGGTGAGACAATAAGCAACATTAATTACAATACATCAGTGGACAACTTCCGTTCTTCCTTTTCTATGTTGTCTCTGTAGTCAACTCTAAAAGTCCTCTGTCTTTATCAAAGGCAGTTGAGGGCTAAAAGTACCTGAGAGTCTACCTGGACAACAGAGTGAACTGGGCTTGTAACACTGAGACCAAGAAGACTCAGAGCTGACTGCACTCTCTGAGGTTCTAGTTGTTCAACATGTGCAGTAGCATGCTGAAGACATATAACTCAGGAAGGCTTTCTGATGAGCTCATCCTGGGGCTGGATGAATACAGGAGCAGCTACAGACTGACACCACCAAGATGTTCCACTGAACACCACAAGAGATCTTTCTTTAGTCTGTACGCCATCTCCCTCACTGCTGGACATGGACATTAACACTATTATGCAATGTTATCATAAGGTCAAAACTCAACCGTGGGATTGTATGAGGTACTTAACCATAGTCACTGTATTACCAGTAGTAAATGTCAGTCAGCACACCCCCAGTTTGGAAACTGGACAGACAGGAGTCTGACATGGAAGCTAAGCAATGTACTGCTGCGAATGTGAAAGCTAAAAACTTGTGAAAAGAAGAATGTTGTAATGACATTTCAAAATAATGAGGTTAGTTTTAACTATGTAAAGGAATATTTCACAATCATGTCGTTAGACATTTCACCTTCTTAAGTCTTAAATATTACTTTTATTGAGCACTTTGGGTCTTCGTGAGTTAATGTACTTTGATGTCATGTAACACTTGGGATCTAGCATTTTTCCAGCCTATTTACTTTAAGTCATGTCATGTCAGCTTTTGATCACTAATAACCATTTTCCAAGGCATAACATAATGCTTTTGATGGCTCACTGGGATTTTCAGTGCTACTCAGCAGCCACTGGTCTTTATTTAGTCACGTCATTACAGTAGAACATTTCAGATTTCAGAGGCTTAGCTTGGAATGTATCCACCACAGTTGATCACAGTGATTATGTTTGATTATCACAGTCAAAGCCATAGTCATGAAGTCAACACTGGGAAGGACCAAATCTGCTGGGGGATCTGTCCCCCCACAAAAGAGATTCAAATTTTGAAATTTCGTTTCTTACTATATTACATTATTCATCATAAGCAAGCACAGCTATAGATTATACAAATATGCAAGAAATGAAACTACTGTCTACAAAATTACACATTCATTGCAACAAAAAAGACTGACACTGTACTCTGCCTGACAAATGACATTAATGGATAGTTCTGATTTTTTTAAAGTGGGGCTGTACGTAGTCAGTGTATTACATGCATTAGATGTCAGACCCCAGTTTGGAAAAGCAGGTTGAAGTCTACGATCATGTTTAATAAACACAGTGATCATGTCCGATCGTCACAATGATCACGTTTGATCGTCACAGTGATCATGTAACAGTGATCATGTCATAGTGATCATGTTTGATCAACACAGTGATCATGTTGACTGTAGTTTTGTTAAAATTAGACTATTGTGTGCGATTTGCAGCAAATGGTAGGAAACAGGCAAACACAGGCCCTTAGGGCAAACAGTGACTGCACATACAGTGGACTTTGAATGAAAAGCATCGAGAAACTGAGTTCAGTTGGTAGTCGGTTACTTGATAAACTGTTACGGTCATTTCATGGTAACTAGTTCATCCGCTATTCCCAAGTGTTATCATACAACAGGCCCATTGTCACATCATCACAGAATGACTGTGACAGCGCGAGCCCTGGCTACAGCACCTGCATTGTAGCGCGCGGATGCTACTGCCCCTGTCCGCGACCAGCGACTACACAAACAGCTAACGTCACGTTACACACGTCCTGCTATAGCTACAGTCGTTTAAAGCATTAATTGCAAATGCCAACACGTTATGTTAACCGACGGGTCAGACAGTAAAGCAGCTAGCCGCACAGCCCAACAGCAGTGTGTTTTCCTGCCTGCTCTCAAATAGCTTACCAACACAGCTCTCTCCACTTGACTGGCAGCCGACATCTTGGGCAGCTCGGACAGAGATCTCTGCGGGTTGAGCATTTTGTGCAGAACACAACAGAACAGGTTCGTTTAACACGTTAACACACTGTCCTCGGCTCGGGATAAAGGGCTCTCACTACCTACTCGATTAGCAAGGATCTGCTGCCTTCACGTGCTGTCGGAAATAACGCAAGCGCTCACATGAACGACCCTGATCAGCGACAGATACATATTAAAAAATGTCCTTTTAGATCAAGATACAAGCTTATGTCGTATATAAATAGCAAGTAATGTTGTTTTTTAGCTATGTATGGTTTAGTCTTTGATTTCAAATATTCATTTTGCTGCACGTACAATTTCACCTCTTTATTCTGCCACAGGGGCAAACAGCAATCGCGTGCTACTCGTCGTTTTAAGAAACATCCGAAATGAAATCATGTTGGTTGATGCATATTTTTAGTCATTCCGACCAAACCACTACAATTAAGGGAAGGTGTTTTACTTTTTACGAGAACCACGTAAATGCAGCATTAGGATGGTCACACATTCACTATTACTGTGGCCCCGCCCACTAGTCCTTATTTGGGAATACAATATCCGTCCCGCGTCACAAAGGTGACATGGAAAATGTAAACATACACTCTGATTACCACCTGAGACAGACCTGTTCTAACAGAAATACTCTGTAAACTATTCTGCCAGGAAAACTGTAACAGGCTACCTGTAGTCTAATGTCCTAAAATTCAAAATGTGAAAAAAAATGTGGATAAAACTATTTGTTCCAGGCTTTGAGGGCCCTGCCAATGCTGGGGCCCTGCCAATGCTGGGGCCCTGAGTACTTGGTTCCACTATTCCCCTAATTATAATGTTCCCGGTCGTGGTTGATAATCTGTCAGCTGTCACAGACATGAAGTTAAAGGTCCAGTGTGTAGGATTTAGGGGGATACTTTGACAGAAATGGAATATAATATAATGAGAATGTTGTCTTTAGTGAATAATCACCTAAAAATAAGAATTGTTGCATTTTCAACACCTTAGAAAATATGCCTGTGTTCAAAGAAGAACTCTCATAAAATTAAAAACAGTGTAATTTGCCATATATGCCCCTCACAAACGCAAACCCATCTCCATCAAGTTTTATTCCTTTATTTTTAAGAATAATCAATAGCATCTACAGCAAAATGATATGCTTATTCTATAACTATACATCAACAATTCTATATATTGTTTGTTATATACAGATATGCAGTGATGATTGCTGTATGTATTGTTGATGTTATCCAATGTCAGGTCTCTGATCATATGACGAGACGACGTGTGCATGACAGTGTACACTGGGGCCCTTCGTAACTACCTTATGCCATTGGAATGAGACGTTTATCTACAGAGTGAGCAGGTCCTCGTCTACGGAGATCACCATGTTGCACGGCCATATTTCTACAGTAGCCCTGACTAGATAAACACTGGCTCTAGATAGGGACATTTGCATTTTTATGTTTTTGCATCAGACACCAGAGTTAGAAGCCACTCCACAACAAGCAGTGTCAGGAAAACACTTTCTTTTTTAACATGAAACTGCTGTAATCAGTGGTTTTACCGGTTTAAATCACTCATTACATTTACATGCACAGTTAAGTGGAGCTATGGTTACGATTGGTGATGATATGCCCCCTTTCAGCTTGTTAGTATTGGACCTTTTTCCGGTTGACCTATTACATCACAGACCAACAATCAAAAGAAGCTAGCTATGCTTAGCTAGTGGCAAACTGGTACCATGATGGACAACTTTACAGCTCTGTACAGTTTGTTTGTCCTGTATGCTTTACTTTTTCTTTTGCTTCACTTCTTCTGTTACGCATTTATTTTATTTATGTATTTTAAAAGTTTGGTTTTATTTGGACTAACACAACAAATTGATTTTTCCTGTCATGTAAACGTACTGAGTGTGTCCCTTTGATTTGGAGTCAGAGACCTCTGCGGAAAATTCAGCTCCTGGTTAAAACCTCCTGAACAAAGAACAAAGAAAGAATTCTAACCGAGAAACACTTCAGCTGGTTGCCATCTGCAGTCCTTACTGCTTGACAACACTAAATCTCCCTGAATCTCACACACTGTTCTTATGATACCAATTTGATCACTGTCGATATTTTTTTATGACTAGTAGGCTACATTAAAATCAGGAGGTATTTCTAATGAACCTTTGTACTAAAAAGTGGATCTGTGACATTTTTACCACCACTGCAGGATTGTGTGTGCAAAGCTGTCAATTTACTGGTCCACCTACATTCCAAACCTCACCTATGGTCATTAGCTTTGGTTATTGACCAAAAGAATGAGGTCATGGATACAAGCAGCCGAAATGAGTTTCCTCCAAAGGGTGGCTGGGCTCCTTAGGGTAAGGAGCTCGGACATCGGGAGGGAGACCGGAGTAGAGCCACTACTCCTTCACGTTGAAAGGGGTCAGTTGAGGTGGTTCTGGCATCTGATCAGGATTCCTCCTGGGCGCCTCCCGTTAGAGGTGTTCCAGGCACATCTCACTGGTAGGATGCCCCGGGGCAGACCCATGGAGGGATTACATATTGTCTGGCCTGGGAACGCCTTGGGATCCCCCAGGAGGAGCTGGAAAGAGTTGCTGGGGAGAGGACCATCTGGAATACACCTTCAGATAAGCGGTTGATAATGGATGAATGGATGGATGGATGGATGAGTTTTAAAAGGGTGATAAAGTAAATTATAATTGCACTCCAGAAAAGCTGGGTACTTCAAAGAGATGTTGGTCAAAATCAAAGCAGCAGGGGGTAACATATCCTGACTTTTAGTCCTTAGTAGTAAATCCTTCATCTCCTTTGATGCAACTTGAAGGCATATTTCTTGAACCCTCCCTCCCCGCCTGGTAAATGGCAACATATTTTAAGCTCCACACCTCCAGTTTGTAACTCAGGCTGATGACATCATCAGGGTTATTTTCTCAGACTTGATGAGGACCCTCCAGAGACACAAAGGACATCATGCTACTGTCTTGACAGTAGCATGCCATGTGAAGTAAACCAATCTTCATGTAAAAAAAACAGTGGAAAGCTCATGGTCATGCAGGTGATGTAATGGGTGTACTGTAGGAACAGTGATGTGCGGCAGGATTTACGGCGTATCTTAAGTCTGCATTCCTCCAAACATATGAGTTCTTACCTTCATGTGAGAAGGCCTCACCTCAAAGTGGCTGGTGGAAAATAGAGCCTTTGTCCTTCTTCAGGGGCTGGATCCTTCAAATTCCACAGTGCTAGGTCAAGTGCATCATAATGAGCTGCCAAGGCCTATCACACGCTGAAAAAGGAGAAGTGCTCACTCTCGCATGGATTTGAACAAATTTGTGATCAAAATCAGAGAAAGGTATCTATTGAGTGCATATGAAATTCTAAGATCTTCAACTTGTGAAAAATGGAAGCTAAAACGTAAGTTGTGGGTTTAAATTTTTCTTTAGGGTCAAAGTCCTGCACTTCAGCTTTAATGTAACAAAATGATAAACGGACTGCATTTATGCATCATTTTCTACCTTAATGGACAAAGTACTTTTCAATTTGCCTCTTATCCCCCCCCCCTCTCTCTCTCTCTCTCTCTCACACCCACACCCACACACACACACACCCACCCAAATACCGGGCAGGATTGATAATTACCAACTGTTCCTCCTGAGCCACAGCTGCCATTCTAACTTGATCAGTTATTAAACATGCACATGTCAGTAATCAGGAGAGGATTTATTAAACAGCACAAAAGTCTTGATATTTCCACATGTACACAAAATCATAAATATCCCCCAAAACCAAAGTTACACCCTCCTTCCTTTAACGGGATCCAAGTCATTTCAATGCGATAATAAGCCAGATTATACAAACCACATATTAATAAACCATTTACACTTGAACTGAACAATCTACATTATTAAGAAACAAAGATGTTAGACAGTTGCTCTGTAGAATCAAAACCAAAATGAGTCATTTTCAGTAATCCTGGTTATTGTAGATATAAAAGAAACCCTACACAACCTAATGTGCTATTTACATCTGTCTTCTAAAAACTGTTCTTTATACTAGAGTGTGGAAGGGGCAGCTAAATCAAAAACCTTTCGCATCATTTGTTAAGCAAACAGAAAGTCTTTCAAAACAGGATGCTGGATTCTTTACATGAAACATAATGATTCAGTTTTATGAGTAATGTATTAATTTACAGTTTACACTGATCTAAACCAAGGGCCTTAAAAAAAAAACACCATGAGCTCCTTTTTCCTGCAAGGAAGCCATTAAAATTTCTAATGGTGCACTCTTTCCTGCTTTCTCTAGATTCATGTCATACTGTATGGGTTATAGTGGAGGAACAGCAGGGCTTGCTTCTAGTTTGCTCGTTTTCTATCAGTCACATCTCGCATGGTGATGTGCTCCTTCTTATGAGGATAGAAATTTGCTGTCATATTTACCATCTCGATCCCTATTACTTCACCTACTTCCTGACACCATGTGGGATAGACACGAGCCCAAAAATAAAACCCACATTCCAAAAACGTATTCTGCAAATTTTCTAACAGACATCAGTAAGCTGTTATTTCACGCACCACTTTTAGCAGAATGAAGAGCGCTCTAACACCCAACAGATTGAAGCCTTCTTGTCTTCAGAAATCCGACAGATACAGTTTTAGTACTCAGCTGTTTTACCTTCTCGGGTATTGAACACCTCTGGTTGAGTATGCAACATATACATATGTTACATATGTTGGACAATGTCATTTGCAGCTGCACACTTGTGTAGAGTATGTGTAAGGCTACATAGTAGAGGTCTTCCCAGGGCCAAAATTCTGAGCCAAATCCAAAATGGACCCATAAAATCTACCCTAACAAGAAGAAATGTATTTAGAAAATGAATGTGGGTCAATGTGTTGATTCCAGAATAAACAGACACATAAACTGGAAAAGAGTGTTAGGTATGTGTCACTCTTCCTGCACCACACAGTTTATTCCAAATTTAACTATGTCCCAACTTTTAAGAGTGCACTTGGATCCACTTGGGTATTAGACTTACTGGCATGCACAACTGAGACCGGACTTCATCGGATATTGCATTCACAAGGAATAGACAGATACAAGGTCACAGTGACCTTAACCTTTGACCACCCAAATCTCAGCAGTTCATCATTGAGTCCAGGTGGATGTTCGTGCCAAATTTGGAGAAATTCCTGTGAGGCGTTGTTGAGATATTGCATTTACAATAATGGGACGGAAACCTGAAAACATAACAGCTCAAGCTACGGCTATTGCCTGCATAAAGACATAATTGTGACTGAAAATTTTTCCCTATGCTCTTCTTTTAAACAAATCTTTAAAGACCTTTACATCTGTTTATTGAGGCATGGCGCTCAGTATATGCAGAGAGTGGGACATTTCACAGCGTATTAACAAACTTGTTAGTGCTCTCTGATAGACAAGCTATGTTACAGAGACACCATTTCTTCACTACCTCAAACATATCCTTGGTATCGGAGTTTCTGTACTGACATTTAAATAAGTTATGAGCCGACATATAGGATGACTCTGTCATGAGCCTATAGAAGTTGATGTAGCCAATTTATCTGTCATGTTTCAGACCTGAATAAGGTCTTGTTTGCTAAGAAGTGAGTGGACTTGCAAAGACCTCTACTACGTGGTCAAGATCGTCCCCTTCCTGAAGTAAAAAAAATAAATAAAACAGAATTCATATTCACACTGATTGTTACATTTCCATATTTACCCAAACAGTTTAGTTGAAGTGAGTTTTGGGGTTATACTGATGTAGTACTTTCTCAATAACTCCATTCCATCTACTATCAGCTGCAGACTCTGGATCTGGAGATGTATTTATTCGACAGCTTTAAGTTTCAGTCTTTGAAAGGAAACAAACTCTCCAACCACTGACCCACCAGAAACTCTTTCATTAGCTTGGTTTTTAATTGTGAACTTTTGTTAATTGATGGTCTAAAATTGGCCTTCAAAACCCAGCCACAACTTTTATCTCCAACTACCAGATAAAAACACAATTGACATCAGGACTTAATTATGCCATTCAGTTAAAATACAACTCAAAAAGTGGATTCATCTAGTTTCAGAGTAATATATTAAAATAAGAAAAACACTGTAAATGAGAACTCTTCCAAACACAAGAATAAAGGGTTTCAAATGTGGAAATCTCAAGTCTTGATGAGAAGTATCAATTATTACTGCATTTTAAGGCCTCAACACATTGTTGCTCTGTCCTTAACCTGTTCAAAAATTATCATTAACACCAACATAAAAGCATAAATCATCTTGTGAAATACAGTAACAAGCCATGGCCAAACTGCACCAAGAAGACCTAAAAAGAAACATAAATAAATACTATAACTGATAGACTTGAGGGGTTACAATATTAAGGCAATGCAGTGGCATGTTCTTGGTGTTTTCTCTCATGGAATTCTGGACATTTAAAAGAAAAGCAAAGATCACACTCAATTAAATATACTCAACATTTGCACATGAACAAAAAACAATCTTCTTTAGGGTTTATGCATCCACAAAACTGCCCCCACAGCAAATTGCAGTAGTACAACCTTATCTGGAGCACTCATACAGCATATATTCCCCCAGTACAGTCAGTGCAATGCTCAAGGTTGCCTCTAACAAAGGAATTACAACCCCATGACTTTTGGGCAGCTAACATGGCTGGCGCTGTGGCAAAATGAAATAAAACAACTAGAATTTAAAACAAAACAAAACAAAAAACTCATTACATGACAAAGGAGAAATAAAAAGGGATTAAAGACTGTGTGGTCCAGAGGATAAGTAAGTCACACCTCGCTCTAGTGAATGTAGGCTCTGTAGACTGCAGATATATCATTGTCTGACTGGTCCAGTGCCTTAGCCCTCTTGTAAACCTGCACAGGAACAGAACAAACAAAAGAGGTTTCAGGTGTATTACATGTGCTTCACCCCTATTGTTATATAGGTTATATATTTAATATGTTAGAACCAATTTCATTTTACTGCAGGTGGATTGAAGAAAATTTCCATTTTCTGTACCGTGCCAAAACACACAATGGCTTGGACAGAATTCCTATCTCATGGGTGTTTGCTTCCACAAACCAGTCAAGTTGCACTTACAGTTTACATCCATGTCTGTAAAAACACAGATGCTTCACACACATTTTCCCCAAGCAGCACAGAAGATCTAGAAGTTTCAAGGTGGACACCCAAGATTAGTGTCACCAATTCAGTATCTGACCAAATGTCTCCCCTTCTGTTCCTGAGACATGGCATTGAGTAATGGACAGAAAAGTGTTTTTTGCAGAACATTATCATGTCACAGTGAAGCTGACCTTTGACCTTTTGGATATACAATATCATCACTTGGTCATTTTATTCCTTTTAACATCTGTGTGATATTTTGACATGATAAACATATTAATTCTTATTGCCAAAAACATGTTTTGTGACATCACAGTGACCTTTGACCACCAAATTCTAATCAGTTCATTCTTGAGTCCACGTGGACTTTTGTGCCGAATTTGAATTGTATTTGGAAATCATGGATGTCGTGTTCACCAGGCTAAAGAGGAAAAGGACCACCCAGATTGTGTGTTAGTGCCCATGGCATCATGGATAACTCTTACATCTGTGAAAACACCTTGAATGCTGAGAGGTACATGCAGGTTTTGGAGGAACATATGCTGCCATCCAGAGGATGTCTTTTTCGGGGACGCCCCGGCTTATTCCAGCAAGACAATGAGAAACATTCTGCACGTGCTTCAACAGCGTGGCTTCATAGTAAGAGTGCAGATACTAGACTGACCTACCTGCAGTCCAGACCTGTCTCCCGCTGAACATGTGTGGTGCATTATGAAACACAACATACGGCTATGGAGACCCCGGACTGTTGAGCAACTGAAGTCATGTATCAAGCATGAATGGGAAAGAATTTAACTTTTAAAACTTATGTCCTCAGTTCCCAAACACTTACTGAGTGTTGTTAAAAGAAAAGGTGATGTCACACAGTGCTAAACATGCCTCTGCTCCAACTTTACTGGAACATGTTGCAGGCATTAAATTCAGAACAAGTGTATATTTATATTACATTTTAAATAAAAATGTTTCACGAGTTTGAAAATAAAATGATCTTGTCTTTATGATGTACTCAACTGCATATGGGTCAAAAAGGATTTGCAAATCATTGCATTCTGTTTTTGTTTATGTTTTACACAGTCAGTGTCACACTCCACTCATTTAGTCTCTAAAGCCTTCACATGTACTAATTGATCCATTGTATTTCTTAGGCCGAGTGTGGAATGTACCCCATCCTCTTTAACCAAAGAATCAATGTGTACCAAGAGGAAGGCAATTCTTTGGTCAACAGTTCACAGGAAAAAAGAAAGAAAACAAAAGATTAATAATATTGTTGTAAAAACTAACAACATTCCTAAGTTGTACCTCATTGGCAGCTGCAGCCATTGGGGTTGGATGGTTGGCCATGTCACCCATTGAAATGGCTAGCCTCAGGTCCTTCTGAATATGTTTCAAATAGTAATCTGGCTTGAAGTTGCCCTGTAAAATATCTGGACAAGGCAGGAAAATGATTATTATTGAATAACTTTAGAGATATTTTCAAATATTTTTGTCTGAAATTCTCTGACAGTGTTCATGTAACTTGTTTTCTATGGCACCAAAATCTAAAAAAAATTATCATGCAACATTAAAAGGAAATTGAGAAATACAGTTAATTAAAAGACAACCATGAGCATGGTTTAGGTAAGTCACTTAAAGACAACTTAAAACTTCCTTTGCGTGGACCTACTTTGGCATTTCTGGTCCACAAAGGTGCTTGCCATCTGGCCCTGGCACAGGATGTCCAGGAAGGTCTGTTGTGATTGGCCTGTGGCCTGGGCCAGGGTTAGCCCCTCTGCAATGGTGGCCATGAAGCTGCCTTGCACCATGTTCAGGATCAGCATCATCCTCGCTGCATTACCCGCTTCACCTAAACCCCCCCCCCCCCCCCCCCCCCCCCCCCCCCCCCCCCCCCCCCCCCCCCCCCCCCCCCCCCCCCNCAAACTGAGGTTTGAACAAAGATGAACCAGCTGATATGAGAATACCTCAATAAAAAATATGGAGGAAGAAACATAATTCTCATAAATTCATAAAGGCTTACTAAATGGAAGTATTCCCTAAGGTAAGTAGAAGATAAAAAGGGGGATGCTAGATGGTATTAATATTCTCTAGAAAAATCTGTATTCATATATGGATATAAATATGTATTAATACATTTATATGTATAGTTTCAGTGGGAATGGGAGTGATATTTATTTTTGCATGTGCAGATTTCTGAAGCAGGTCAATGCTTTCATTCATAATGAACACAAAGGTCATGGAAATGTCATGTTGTTTGCCTCGACAGGAATTCACCGTACAGTGTAATTCAAACTAAGTGAGACACACACACACACACACACACGCACACACACCCCCCCCCCCCCACACACACACACACACACACACACACACACACATTTGTAAGCACACATAAAGCTAGGAGTATGTGACAGTCTCCACACACACGTGACAATCATCCTTAGTGTGTCCATGTCTAAATTTCTGTTTGCCTGAAGTTGGCTTTTTACTCATGTTGGGTAGCCACAGAGCAGGGGACTTGCAGTAAAAGCTCTACCAATGAGTGAACTCAAAATGTGGTCATGTGATGTCGTCCGGCAGCTCAAGCATCCAGAAACAGAAACTAGACAGAAACCAAAGGAGAGACTCTCTAAAATAAAGGTAGATTTTTTTTTTTAGAGGTCATTCACTGACAAGACACTGGACATTGTAGCCTACACTATTTGCTGGTTAATAATCTACTAGTGTTGTTAAAAATATTGATTTCTGACTAGTGAATATTTGAAATCATTTTAATACTTATTTTCCACAGCAATGCTCTCTCTTATTGCTAATGTTGACTACAGTCATTCTGCTGTTCTCTGCTACTAACCAAAAAAGAAAAGTCATCACTGTCATGTTATAGCTTTGGTATATTAATTTTTTAATAAAAATTCAAATTTGTATGCCCCAAATGTCAATTTTTCCGTGTAATATTGAAAAAATATTGAATATCGATGTTTTTAACCTTTACAGGATTATTCAGACATTAAAGGGAATTCGCATATTTATTTTCTTTCAGAAAGACGACTGTAACCAACAGTGATGGGGGTACCACATTAAAGTATCACATTACTTTTTGCAGTAACAAAGTATTATCACACATTACCAACAGGATTTGGGGTAATATTATTGCATTTACAATGCCTTGTGATGCATTACAACCACACATTAAGTATTTATTGCTTAAATTTTCCATTGATCCATATTGTGCCACTTCTGCCAGTGCCACCAGAGAAAAAAATCCCATGATGGTTTTTGTGTCTTGTCATGTCTTGTCATGATATGTCATATAATAGAAGGGTGCCAGCTATCAGCACACCTGGGTGATGCCATATTGCATATTAGCATGTTCACTGTGTTTCCATTCATAAACCTATGACATATCCCATTCTGCTATTGTTTATTTTATCCTCGTCCCGGTGATCAGCATATCTGGGTGATGTCGTCAAGTGTGTGTGAGCATGTTGGATGTTTTCCTTTCACATCCCCTACAATAGCGGAGTAATGCCGACTGTCCCCTTCTCATACACAACTCTCCCTCTGGTACTGTTAAAGCTTACTGGCACACTGGGAACTGACAGGTGGGTCCTCCAGCTCTGGTGAATTTATTTGAGTCTGTCATAGTGACTGATTTGTATGCCAAAATGTTTGTTGTTCTAACCTCAGCATTTGTTTATTGTGTTTCATATTGTAGGCCTACAAATATTTATCCATGTCTCATAATTGATCAGACATCGATTCCCTGCCTGCCTGTCTCTGTGTCCAAGGCTTTCTGGTTATTTCTGGTTATTTAAAAAGGATCTAGGCTAGTTCATTGTTCTGTATCATCATGGTATTGTTAATGTAAGCAGGGGATTTTAATAAAAAGTGGTAACTACTGTATGTGAACACAAGAATGAGCCAGATCAGCACGCCGGAGGAGAGACTTCATTGGGCTGTACAATATCTCCCACCACTGGATTTGTACCTGCTATAAACTGGAGCTACTGTGCGTTGATTACCTGCTGTACAACAACATGACCCTCTTTCATTTTATAATGCCTAGTTGTTCTCCTGAGGTCATTTGGTTAAAGTAACAAAAGAGTAGTGTATTCAGTAACACATTACTTTGTGCAGACAGTAATACTGTAAAGTAACTTGTTACTTTTAAATGACTGTAACTAGTAATATGTAATGTGTTAAATTTTGAAAGTAACTTGCTCAACACTGGTTACCAATATCGAACTCAAGCCAGCAGCCAGTTAGCTCAGCTCAGCAGTGCAAGGACTGGAAACAGATGAACACTGCCTGACTTTGTCCACAGTAACAAAATCCTCCTACCAGCACCTCTAAACATTAACATGTTATACCTTACTTGTTTAATCTATGCAAAAACCCAGGGCCGTACCCGACTTAGAATTATGTCAATCAAATCCGATTTGGCTGTTCAATACAAATATTTAAAGATTCGGCCATGGCTATCGCCTGCGTCACAGGCATAAAAATGACACTTCAACATTTACAGAAGGTTATGTGCCAAGCAGAGATCAGTAACTTCCTGGAGTCTCTGCTGGTTGCCTGGCAACCGCAGAGCCAACAAACAGCCAAGAAGTTGTTCATGTTAATGTCTGATAAAACTATTGTAAGTCTATCCAACAGTGAACCCATAACATGTGTCTTACTGAACTGGGAGCTGACATGTATCAGTAGACCCTACATACCCAGGAAGAAGGAGGTCTTGCCCATGGCCTGGAAGCAGCTGCTGCAATCCTCGTAGACACTTCTGTCACCAGCTGCCAGGATGACCAGCATCCCATCATTGGAGAGCTGCTGACTTCCTGCCACTGGGGCCTCCAGGAAACGCCCACCCCGCGATGTAATCACCTGACATTCAAACATTAAATAACAATTTGATACAGCAATACTTACAAAAATGCAATGACAGTAAGTGCTACTACTGTATATATTTAATTAAAAACAGCAATACTTATATTCTTCCAATGACAATAACGTATACTACTGTATATACATTTTGGGGGAGGGAAGCATCAGTCATTTAAAGAATTTGGCGTATAAAAAACAATTTCAATAGTGCATGACTTTTTCCTGTGTGCTTAAGATAACGTTGTGTGTATGTTTTGTTAGTGTTTACCTGTGATAGTTCTGTGATGGTCTCTGGGTCAACAGTGGACATCTCTATGTAGCATTTGCCTGGCCTGATTCCCTGCAGCACTCCACTGGGTCCCAACACCAACTGGAGAGCAACAAATCCACAAAAAAGGTTGTTTTTTTGTTTTTTTTTTTACCCACAAGCAGGTGATTCACGCCTACACAGGAAGCCATTTACTGGTGTGGAGCTGGTACTTACATCCCTGGCAGCCTTTGGGTCAGAGACACAGGAGAAAGTGATATCACACATGGAAGCCACCTCGGCAGGAGTCCGGCCTAACCTGGCTCCCTCCTGAATGAACAGGTCACACTGGAACACAACAGGCAGGAGTTATTTAATAAATCATCATTAGTACGCCAGCACATCAAACTTCCATGGTTTGCCAGCATATGCACCAAATCTTTTTATTAAGCATCTGATCAGTGCAGCCATCCTCTGGTACAATTAATGTCATGTTCATTGTAGGGATGCATCAATGCCAGTATCAATGTTTAAAATTAAAATGTGGCTGATAGCTGGTGCCAGTGTTTTCATTGTTGTTGAATTTTTGTTTGTTTGTTGTTATTTATTCCCCCTTTTGTACCAGGGCAACAAAAAAATCTTCATTCTAAAAACACAACCTGACTGTTTTAACGTCATTAAGCCCTTTATCACACTATCTTTGAATGACCATAACTTCAATCATTAATATTTATGAAACAGCCTTTAAGACAGTCTTTCACATGAAAAACATCTTTTAAAAATGTTTTAAAAGTCTTTTTAATATATACATTATATCATAATTCCCTCTGTAATATCTATTTTATAGTGTTGTGAAAACATAAATTTCTCCCTAAAATAGCTGTATTTATTAAAGTTTCGCCAAAAACTTAATTTTACAAGCTTACAATGAATACATCATGATAATGTTATAATTTACCTTTGCCCATTGCTCATTTTTGTACTTAATAGAGCTTGAATGCATCATCATGTAACTCAATGCAACCTCTCTTAGCTGTGAGTTACAGCAACCAGCTGCTAATGTATAGCGCCGTATAACGTATAATGTCGGCTGCATAAAGTAGGGACTTCTTAGCGGCCCTTTAGCACGATCTCTGTGTAATAAGGGCTACTGACATTAATGACACCTTGTTCATCAGACAATACATTAGTGATTATTTGACACTGGATGATGCAATTGCCTGTGTGACAGTAACTCTGTGTTGCACTACAGTACCTTTTCTGCTGTGCGGTTCCACACTGTGACAACATGACCCATTTTCAACAGGTTGGAAACTATACCGCTACCCATCAGCCCCAGACCCAGGAACCCTATCCTGAAGGGCAAAGTCCAGAAACAACAAACAAATCCAAACATGATCAAAAAAATGAGCATTCGTATGTCCAAGTAACCCATTAAAAGGTTAGGTACAAAATTGGTAACAGTAATCCATAAGTGTTAAAGGAATACTTCACCCAAACAAGGACCATTTGTATATAAATAAGGGACCACGTTTAACAGTGGCAATTAATATATATTCCCAATTTCAGTGGAGGCATACAGACAAAGTTTTCTCTACAAATTCAACATCAACAAATGGTCATTTTGTGGGTTAAGTATTCCTTTAAGCCAGTTCTGTGTTTTTGGTTAAATTTACTGAGTCATTTTGAAGATGTGTGAATACCTTTTATCTGTGGGTGTGATGCTGCCATTGATGGCTGTGCTGTCTGCTGCTTGGATGGATGTTGACCCTGTTTCCTGCACAGTGAAAAGCAACACCGTCAATTTCATACTGAGGGGAAAGTGAGGCCTTATTTAGCTTTGCTATGCATTATTTTCTAAACCAAATATATTCCCAAAATGTAAAATTCAATTGTAGAAGTTCAAATGAATATGAACTTCTTCCACTCCGTGCAGACACGAGCATTCCCCGCTGACATTACTGTCTTTCAAAGGCTGTAACAGGTTGAGTCTGTACTACATAAAATTAAAAGACTTTAATTTTTATTGTATTTGAAATAAAAAATTTTAAATACTGGGGTCACCTAAACGGTCTTGAAATTGCATAAATGGGGTCTGAGTGGAAAGCTGAGACTCTTGTGGATTCAATGAGCCCAATTTTGATCATGTGTCATGCCGTTAGTTCCATAGTAGCCATCTTATTGTAGCAAAACTATTTTTTTGAAATTATAAACTCTATGCTTATAAGTTTGAATAAGCATCTAACCAAAACACAATGTTTATTACAGATTCATGACTAGAAAAACCTGACACACAAAGCTAAGATGCATCTCAAATTAATCTTCAGGTTCCCAGCTTTCAGATGATGTAGACCACTTCTATGTAGCATATACTGTTGACGTGCTTAAGATTCCCTGTGCCCCACAAAAAGACAAAAATGTGTCTATTGTATGAGGGGTGGAGTAGAAGAGGTTAAAATAAATTCATAAAAGTTGGAACATTTTGACTGGTTAGTTTTACTAGAAAATTACTAGTTACTTTACCTCTTCAATGATCTTTAGGCGCTTGCTGATGGGTTCCATTGATGAGGCTGGCTGTGGGCAGTGTAGAAACTATCATATAGATGTGACCAACATTCTCTACACACGTCACAAAGAAAATGCCAATTTCATATTGGATTCACTGCATCTTACAAGAAAATTACGCAGGATTTTCCTAAACAACAATGTATAGACCATACTAAAGTAAGTATTTTTTTCTGCAGGGCCTCTGCCCCCTGCCTGGATTTTCTTATTTTCTTATCATTTTTCTACAGTCAGGACATTCTTTAGCACAGCACGCAGGGTAGGTTGGGACTTCATAAAAGTGGTAACCAGGTGCCAAACTATAAGCAGCACGCATCCAAGAGGAAGCTACAAAAATCACAGACACAGTGACGAAAAAATGCCAATATAGTGAACAGTATACTTTGTAGGAATTAATTTACATTTAAGTAAAACGAACTATGTGATAACAAAATTTTGTAGTAAACATTTGATAAAATAAGAGCTACAAACAAACAGCATTCAGAGCACATCAGTCACCGTTTGGAAACATCTGGTCAGCATCCCCTCCAATGTCATTGCCAATATTGTGTATTCAGTTGATGTATTTGATTGGTGCATCACCTCATACACTCAAATGATGGAATGAAATTGTTTTGTTTCTGTATATTTTGTAACTACCAACCCATTAGGGATCATTGCATATATATTTAAGACACTAGACTTTAACTTGGACCTGTGCCCAGGGTCATCATGGGCTCAAAGTAGAAACGTCACTGCCCAAACCCCTATGACAGGCTGACAAAGGATTTATCAGTTTTGCCAGAGATTGTTTCAGTTTAACTGTTACAGGCCCACACAGGGGGTACCACTAGAAACACTGCTGTCTCTTCATCAGCACTGACCAAATCAGAGTCAAGCGGACCAAGACTACAGAGCACCAGATTCCTTAACGAACGAAATCAGACATGTAGAGCAAATGAATAATTTAAAAAAGGAGGAAAGAAAAAAATTATAGGGTGCAGGTGTCAAAATACTGAGCGTGCTTCCTCTTACCTTCTCAGACTGGCTGAGTAGGAAGTGATGGAAATGTGGGTCGTCCTTCACAGGCTGCAACAGAAAAAGAAATCACTGTGACAGTGTTTTCTATGCTTATGTAGTGACCAGAGTGCAGAAACCACTTACTGTACACCACACCATGCTGACACATCAGGGCTCCCACCAGGGTCTTTATACAAACTGCCATAATTATGTAGTAAAAGAAATTGGATGTAGGGCTGGGCAATATAGCTTAAAAATAATATAGCAATACTTTTGGATTATATCGCGAAATTTTGAAATCTTCACTTAAACAAAATAATTACATGAACTACAGTTTTAAAAAAGCTAAAGTAGCTCCTGTCATAATTCAGTTAAATAAGTATTGTTATGATAAAGTTAAATAAAGTATTGTTAGAATTTAAAAAATCAAAGTGGAACCATTTGTGCTTTAATTTTGAAGCACCCGGCTCGGCCCGGGCCTGAGGTGTTGATGTTTTTGCCGTGAACTTGGTTAACAGTAAGATGTTTGCAGTTAGCAGACAGTTTACATTAAATTACAGCAGCACCTTTAAACGTGAGGACTTATTCACTCTGAGAGGGAAACACACTGACAGCGCTTCCCTTCATAAATTCATATTATTTGCAAGTCGAACTGGTGCTCCATGGTTGTGAAATGTGAATAACAGTTGCGGTCTAGAGCCCTGCAGATGAGAAACACCCTTCGCCTGCTCACACACTATCGCTCAGAAGAAAGTGATCAGGATGGGCGAAGTAGTGTGTGTGACAAACCATGTTTGTGAGTCTTTCTGTGTGTGTGTGTGTGTGTGTGACTACGTTACCCTTTTTATTCAGTGTTTTCAAATTTGTCTTTTTTTATACATTCCACATGGAACAAGCCACAATTCTTCAAGTATTAGGGCTGCACGATATATCGTTTGAACATCACCATCGCGATGTGCGCATGTGTGATAGTCAAATCGCAGGACATGCAATGTTTTCCCTTTTTTGAGAACATGTAAACTTTTGTTTTGCTTCAGAAAAGCAGCTCTGAAGAAAGCTCTTTGCTCGCTCCGCTCGCCTCTCTCTCTTGTCTCTCCCTCTTTGAGCACTTAGCAGACCAGCCCCCCACCACCCCTCACAATAAAAGTCTATTTAGAAAATAAAGGGATTCTCTCAGCCGAGGTTATAAGGGGCTTTTAATTTGAAACAATTTCAGGAAGTGTTGAGTTTGACATGACAGCGCGATGCATTAACTTTATCAAGGCAACGGGAACGGATAAAAAGTAAAAATATAAAGATACAGAGGGATTAATAAATAACGGTCCTTTTATAATGTAGTCTGTTTCAAATGAAGCTGGTAGCCTCTGCAGCTGTGGTGAGTAAAAGCCCCACCACTATGTTTTAATTTTCTTACTTTAAGTCATAGTTTTTTACAATATTGTGCAGTCCTATCAAGTATATTCCATATATTGCCCACCCATATTTGGAGGTGATTCCGTCCATAGTCTAAAGATCTGATGTTACCCTGGAGTGTTAATGGTGAAGGCTAATTAACTCCATAACCAGCGAAAACCCGATATGTGTTCAACTGCTGCACAAAACATTCAGGTTAAAAAAACACCAACAGCATGTTAGTTTAAATGGCTGACCTTTGGAATACTTACACCAATACAGAGCAAGAAGAACACAGTTTGCTGTTCAGCAGAACTAGAGGTGAACTGACACAAATCCACATGCTTTATATAATGTACAGTTTGACTGGCCTATGAAGTGACAGTTACAGGTGGTCTCCCTCTCTACACTGAATATTAGCTAATACCCTAAAGCCAGTAAGTGAAGATGAAGTATAAGGTCATCATGTGAAGGCATAATGTGTTAGCATATCACACAGTAAAAAATGAGCTTTTGTGATGTATCTCTCACAGAATGGCCAAGTTTGAGTTCTCTGAAACTAGATGACTATCTGATTCTCCATGTCAGCAGAACTGATGAATTCTGAATAAGTTAACATTCACAGTTCCATCTTGTCCTGTCATTTAGGTTTCTGAAAACAAAAGAACATGGCAAATACAACAAGGAAATGAGCTGATTCTGTTTACAAATCAACAGACCATAAAGAAGTGTAAAGGGAAACGCTGCCTATTTTCAACCAGCTCTGTCATGGCAGTGTGTGCAGATGAACCGTGTTTGGTTTCCCCCGTGCCACGAGCGCCTGTAACTCCCCACCCATCCGCCAGCAGAAGTCTGCTGGGTGGCGCAACATGCATCACTGGGACCTCTGCTGATCAGTTTGATTGATCAGTCAATCAATCCGATCAGAGGTGATTAAATGAAGTGCTGGCTTTGAAAGTGTTGTCATTGTTAGTGTAGATCACTGCTGATAGAGGGTTGAGACAGACACAAGTCATCACTGCTGTGATGTAATTTTTCCAGTTTTTCAAATATCTTATTATTCTGATCATTTTATTTTTTGGTGTTATTGCGTTGGGTGAGAAATGTATGTGTATCCCTAATGAAATTGACGATAAATATTATCCCTGCACAATGTAGAACGTAGCATTTAATTTACTCACTGTCATCCAGTATTTGTTTATTTTTCTGATCTCTTTATCTTTCTGCCATTTTCTTCTCTGCTTAAGAAACTCTTGAGCCTCTTTAAAGACCTTCTCCTTACTCCTAACAATTTGTGTAAGGGCTGTGTGAATAACTTTTAACTTTTCAAGGTCCTAGTCTTAACCTTAAGGGGAAATTCTAAGAAAAGGTCACAATTCTAAGAATTTTCTTAGAATTTCATCACTAGGAGCAACTTTTAGCAGCAGCTTTGTATACAACCCCAGGACTGTTCATAAACATTTGATTCCACACTACTGAAGTCACTCTCCTTTTTAGAACATAACTCCTCCACCACAGAGCTTTCAGTCATGCTTGTTGGTGCTGTGCAGTATGATGTCATTATGTCAACAAGTCAGAATATTGCCATTACTACAATATGTATTTCTTTTATCATATTAAAAATCGTACCGGCCCTATCGTGAACAATATGATATGGTACACCCCTAATGGGTTGAAGCCAACACCTTCGGTCTGCACAAACTGCCCACACACAGAGCTGAATTTAGAGTGGTCATCAACCCCGCTCCTGAGGAGCTGGTTGGCTCTCTTTACTACCAGACACACATAAAAAGCAGGAAGCTTATCAGGAAATCATACATTTCTGGGTCAACTGAATCAAACGTCAGCCCCTCTTGAGCCTCCACATACAGTACAGAGCTGGTGACCATTTTAACAGCACACGCCAAACAAACAGTTTCAGTAGTCAAGAGTGAGCACCAAACAGGTCAGAAGGGAAAGGTCTGCAGTTGCTGGTGATTAAAGCCAAAGCTTAAGGTCAGGTAGGAAAAAAGCAAGGCAAGGCAGGCTTGTTGGGAAGGGGGTTCACCTACACTGCTTTCCCATTTGAATCCTGAGCCAGGTCCAGCCCCCAGCCTCTCAATAGTGGACGGCTCGGGGTCAGAGTCAGTTAAGTCCTTAAGGAGGAGAGAGACACATATTCACCTTCTAAATCAAAGGGTGAATTTTTAGAGGTCCATGTCTGCCGTAGTGGGGGATGTTTTCTCTGTCATATATGGAAGAGACAGTGTTGAGGACCAAATATAAAATTCCATTCATCCACTTCCATTCCACTGTATTGGAGTGGAGAAATCTCTTGCAGGCACTGCAGGCAACCCCTGACAGTACCTAGAACTTGGATTTAGCATCATCATCTGAACAGTGCCCAAGTTAAGTTTTAGAACTTTAAGTCAAAGCAGAGGAGGACAGTGGAAACAAAAGCAGAACCTGAGATAATGGCTACGTGTTATGTTACACTGAGTTCCTGCAGGCAAATCACCCCAATTACAAACCAAAAACACAAAAACCCAGAATCGTTCACTGGGACCTCGGATAGGTGTGGCTAAACATTAGTATCCATACTGTAAGCCCCAGTATTCGCTTTGTATTATTAGATTCAACAAGGTAAAATTTGTGACTGTTTTTGCTGTTATGACATTGCAATACTTAGCAGGAATGTTGTCACTTTAAATTGTAATCCATTAAATGCACATTGCAGGTTTAGTGGAGACAATTTCATCAGATTGCTTTTGGGGTGAAAGCTCATGCCTGGGTTTTGAACATTAACAGAAATACAGATCACAGATCTTATCCTCAAGTTGACATTCCCTACAGTCAATGAAAAAACCTGTGCATGGCTCGGTGCACTAAGGAGGGAAGGATGGAGTTCAGAACTCATTAACTGTCTGTAAATCAGTGTCACTCTCTTTGCTTCACTTTTTCCAAGCCTCATTTTACTGTGTTTGTTGTCTTTTCTAAAGAGTGTTTATTTTGAATTAAACACGATTTAACTAATGCTTGACAGGACAATAGTTTAACTTGTCAGTGTTCTACTGACCTTTTCAGAGGGGTCCTTCAGGGCACTGAGATCCTCATCATCCTCCTCCAGTATTTTCAGTGGCTTGTTGGATGTCTTCTTTCCTTTTGAGTCTCCTTTCCCATCCGAGTTCTGTTAAAAAAAAGGTCAAAAAAAGATCAACAACTAATGATATTTTGCTGCTATTTTTTGCATGTCAAGACAGTTCTTGGCAACCTGATGACTGTTATAAATGTAGGAGGGTTTCGAAAATAACTTTGAACAGGTTACAAATACACTTGGGAAAAGGGATGACTGAATACTCTTGTATGCTTCCACTCAGGTGGGCAGCCTAAAGAGAGACCATGTGTCCACTTGACCAAACATTTGCTGAGACTGAACATAAGACCTAGGAGAATTCACGAGGAAGGTTTGAAAGAGCAGGACTTATTGAGTAAAATCTCACAATATTAACTGTTCATTTGATTCCATCAATTTCAGTGCTGGAAACAAACCAGTTCCGCATCTGTGTTTGTTTTGGTTGCGCTGTGGTGGCATAATAGCAGGGCTGGGCAATATCACATTAGTTAACTTGCTAGCTAGCTAACTTACCATTTGGTATATTTCACATTGTATGTATTTGACAAACTGATGATTCAGCTAATTATTGGATTTTCATTTTCAAAGAATGTTCTGTTTTTGAACATAAGGGCTTAGTCTTCAGAGGGTTAATCAATAAATTGATTTTTTAATTTCTATGAGACAGGTTTATGTCGGCTTCTGATGTGGGAAAATAGTTATTTCTATATGTATCTGACACAATGAATACAGCCTGCGCAAATAAACAATTTTATTCTAGTTATTTCCCAGAAATCCCCATGTAAAGTTACCTTGAATATTCCTGGAATTTGGACACCTTACCTTAGAGTATCAGAGTGTGCAGACACAACTGACAACTCACGCTACTCCGCCCTCCTTTTCCATTACTGTTCTTTATTTCCAGTTAAGTTTAAGTTACGTTTGCAGTTAGCTCAATTTGAAACAAGACTGTTTTGTAAAACATGTCTGCCATGCTGATAATACTGTGTCCAATGACAGAGACAACAAATCTGATGCTTCGACTGACAGTGAGATTCAAATCATGAGTTCCTTGATTAATAATATGAATCACTAGTTGCTTTTACACTGCCTCTTCAAGGCAGGAATTTCACACCATTAGGTCACCTCGCTGATCTGTATAAAACGTACAATCACATAACGGGGGGGACAGAGTTGTCTCTCAGAGATATTAACAGCACCAAAATGAGATTTGTACAAAGTGGACAGTCGAAAGGATGGAATCATGGGCAGCACAGGTGTGATATTTTGGCAGCATGTGTTCGACTCACTGCAGGAGATTTAAAAAGTAGCTGCTAGCAGTTAGCATCTAACTAAGAACGGCGGACGAAAATGTTCACAAAGTGGGAAAACAATGAGGTCCAGGAGCTCCTTACCCTCCGAGCAGCGGGAGATCAGCTGCCATATAACAGGTGAGGTAAATTGTTATTGCCATGTTTACACCATTGTTATTGTTTAGAAAGCGCTGCTGACCTGTCTATGTCACGCTAGAGGCGACGCTATTGTGTTACACGTCACACCCATCAAGCCTCTATTGATTCCATGATGCTGGCATACTGTCTGAAATCACATACTGGAGTGGAATGATGGCACTGTTGTTTGGTACTGTATAAAAATGCAAAGCCAACGCAAAGATGGGACTTCATAGCCAACCTACTGTGCAATCTCTGTGTAAAAAGGGCTACTGATGTTCACAGGGCAGGTCTAGTGGGCACTTTTAAGTGAAACAAAAGAGGTATACAAGAAATGACACATTCATTCAGAGACATTCATGATGTCCATTTTCCCTAACCTCCAACATGAAAATGTATACCAACATTCTCTGTCAACATTACATCTCATTATGTGTCATGTTCAGTGTTTCCCAAGAGTTCTTTTGAGGTTGAAGTGCTTCAACCTGTAACCTCATGGTACACCAGAAGTCTGTACGCATTTAACCATCCCCCTTGCCTAAAATCCTTGCATTCTGTACATGAGACTAAAAAAAACATATGAAAGCAAGGGAATGATTTTTTTTCTGAAGAGTACGGGTAAGCACAATCTATTTAGAATTGCTAGTTTTATCTCAAATACTGGATTATGTGATGTAGGAACCCCCCACCCCCCTTCACCTGTTCTTTCCCCTTTGCTTTCTTTAGGAAGTCTTCCACTGCATCGACCGCCTGCTGGAAGCGCTTTCCTTTATTTATCTTGATCATCTCCTCTTTGTGGGCATGGTAGGGCTTCAGCTGTTCTACTTTGATCCAGGCACTGAACAGGCACACAGAAACATAGTTCTTACACATTTGTTGATGAAGGATATGCAAGGTCAGTCAGAACTGGTGGTTCACTTACTGGTCTTCAGTTCCAAAAAATTTCACAAAATGGCATTTTTTGCCCCTGGGCTTTTTCAAGTCCTTAGGAGGGCTTACTACCTGAAATGAGAATAAATATAGTCAAACATTAGAGTAACATTTGTCATGCAGTTGTTCAAATCTATCTGGCCTTTAAGCAGCCACTGGCATGTTTTCACTTCTCACCTTCCCTGGCCATGGTGGGTAACGACCAAGCTTCCCCCTGAAAGAAGAGTGATACTTTGAGGTCTGGTATCAGTCTTTCTTGCTAGTACAGAGAGACATTACATCACACTCTGGGAATCTAAGGATTCTGGCACTGCTCAGGTCCAATTTTGTGACCAGAGGGGATGTGCCTTTTGCCATCAGAGCACCCAAACTTTACAGAGATACAAACACTATATTAAGATTCTTGAACACAGAGAACTGACAAAATAGTGAAAACCCTTACAACATAAACCGATGGAAGCTCACGATACCTCATGTAGTGAGACGTGTTTCATTTTGTTGGAGGTATCAACAAATGTTTATCCCATTTTTGTCAGTGTTAATAGGGTTCTACTTGTTCTTTTTATCTTTCTTGTTTGCAGTTATGTCCTCATATGTTATAGAAATATTTCCTCTTGCCACATTTCATGATTTTGCAGTGTTCTGAGAGATGTAACAGCAACTTAGGTAGCCACTACAGTACCTCACATTTACAAAAATATGATGTTCTGAGTATAGACCGTGTAACATGTTTACTTACAATAACTTCCAGGAAGAAAACTCGCGCATCATGTACATAAACTCAAATGGCGCTGAGCAAATGCTGTGTCAGCTTGTTTTGGGTTTTTTTAGCCAGCTGAAAACAAACTCACTTATAAAATCTGTATCAGTGTGAGTGTACACTGTATTTAGAATATTTTCACCATTTTACCTTGCTGTCCAATAGTCTTTTCCAGCAGGAATTTGAAACTGTTGTATCAAAGCCACCAGACTCCATTGACAAAAACAGTAGCTTAACTTACCAACACTTAAGTTGTTGGCTTACTGCAGCTGGTTAGTGTGTAAGGTAAAGCGGAGAAAATATTCGAATATAGCATTCACTAACATTGATATTGATTTCCTTGGGTGACTAAATTATGTTTCACTGCAGCCCTGACCACAGCAGTACACTGCTTAGCTTCTATATCAGAAGATTTGATTTATCTAAGATCACAGCGGAGCAACGCAGTACATAAAATAAGCACAGCAGAGGCTTCAGATAGGTCGGACTAGTGTCTCACTATGTATCTTTAGACGTTACAGTTATGGCTGAAAATGACAACAGACATAAACAAGTTTGCCAGTTTTACATATCTCTGCAACTGAAATAAACTGCTTGTTGTCTACTCAGACGTGACTGTTGTAAGTTGGACTTCATGATGATTGGTCCATATGGGTACACTTAATTTGATTCCCCACCACCACCCCAAATCAGTCTCCCATTCATAGTCTATGGAGCACCTCCAAATTTATACTTGATGACATCACATGATTTGACACACAGGTCTGGTTTCTGGCTTTGAGAGAGAGTAGCTCAAGTTAACAGACATTGCTTTAACTCTTTTGAGGCCGTGGAAATAACATGTTGACATTCTTGATTTAGGTGGTGATGCCCTTTAAGTTGCATGTAGTTTAGAGGTACCCGTGTATCAGCGTAAATTTAACAATATTTCGAAATGCGTGTTGCAAATGTTTAAAGGCAACTAGCCCCTGTTACTTGTATTGACACTTTGCAGTGCAGGTAATACCATCTTGAGCAATACAAACTGCTACAAGGCAATATAAGACCACCCATTTGGCATTATTCTCATTACAAATAAATCATCAAACTTCTCAATGTTCAATTAAGCAGAGTTCATTCTCTAAGGACAATCTGTAAATCATTGTAGTCTGCAGAGAAAGAGGTGCAACAGTTAACACGGAAGCCTAGCAGACGTGAAGCTACCAACAGTTAGCTAAATATCCGCTTATGCTACGGTGCTAGCAAAGCTCGTCACAGACCACAACACTTCTACAGTACTGAAAATTAAAAGTATTAAGCGAAGCTCTACAGATAAACCCGTCGAGGCAAGAATTTAAAGTTGAAAAGACTAGTATCCGGGGGGAAGACCCCTCTCTCTTCGGTCTAAACCTTATTCTTTTAAGTTACCCGCTAGCTAGTAGCTAACGACGGCTGCTGGCTGAGTCAGCTTGGCTAGCAATTTGTTTGGGTTGACCATCAACTAACCGAGTACGAGAACACTTCCATGAATTGCATCTGGTTGTCACAAACATGAATTATAAGCGTTAAACTAACTAATGAAACACTGCTGCATGCAATACAAGATGATTTAACAGAACCGGAGGGGTCTGACAATGTTTTGAGGTTTTCTCACCACACTAGGTCCCCGATCCTCAAATGCACCGTCGCCATCTTACAACTTTAATAAAACGTCGCACTGAATGAGGGGAAAAGACAACACACACCCACTAATCACATGTGAGAACAAGCCCTTCCTCTCTATGTAACATCCGCCTGGCTGTTTATTTTTACTTTGCATTATTCTGAAAACTGGTTTCTGACAAGCCAAAACACATTTAATATATAAATGAATAGTATTTTGTTTATGTGTAAAGAACTAAACATCAAAAAGAGGGAAATGACTAGGCTATAACATTACACCAATATAAAAGCAGATGCTGTGATAAATCTACATGCGACAAATGAATGGATGGTATGGTTCATATTCAATTTGAGTGTGATATTTAACCAGCTTTAATCTTAAATTAAAAACATTTCTATTTGTGTAGCCTGTGTTTCTATGTGCAGCTCCTTTTCACAGTACTGCCACCCACTGGTGGGAGGACGACCATCTCTATGGCACCTTCGTCTCTAGGTAAGCACTGCAATTTCATTTGGTTTCTATTTTGAGAGGCAGGCTTAACACGGATTTGGCCTAAATGTGATAATGTAAAGACGCGGTATATTTGTATGTATGGTTTATGTTTTAAAATGGGGGAGCAATCTTGAAAAGATTCTGGTGGGGGTTTGGGGGTCCTCCCCCAGAAAAAAAAGTAATTTTAAACAAACTTTACAAGTCTAGATGAATTAGACTGAGGGTGTTACGAAATCCAAGAATACACCAAGAACCGTTTAGGGGAGACTGGGTAGAGTTGTAACACTTCTTGTCTCAGCACCTCTAACTAGCTCAGTTTTTATGTAAGAGCTCTACCTTTGGCACAAAGTACCCTTATTTGTCTACTAAAAATAGCAATGTTCCCAACTTCTCCAACTACATCACAGAATTCAGCAACTGATGTCAAATACAAGGAGTTCCATCATTACAACCTGCCCAAGTACCAGGGTAAGTTGTAACGACATCACGACTATGTACAATATATCAATATATTTTGAAGCAAGATATAGATTTAGACAATACTGTTTATATCGATATAAGGTCAAGTTGCGTTACATAACGCATACCAGTGTTCATCTCACACTCTCTGCACAGCTCCACCCTACTCACTCACTCATAAGTTCTCCAGCCACACTAAGGGAGACACAGAGCTGCTACTCCGTTTAATCTGTCTGTTAATTAGTCTATGTGGGACATCAGTCTATGTGCTGCACATGCTACGCTAAATCAGTTTATGAGATGAAGAAAAATGACCACAGTAGCACACATGCAATCCAGCACTGCGTTGCATGTGTAGGAGACTTTCCTCTTTGATAAAGTTTATAGTTAGGGCTGGCTCAGGCTAGCCCTGTACCAGCCCCTAGTTAGGCTGACTTAGGCCTAGTCTGCCAGAGGACCCCCCTATGATACACCGGGCACCTTCTCTCCTTCTCTCTCTCTCTCTCTCTCTCTCTCTCTCTCTCTCTCGTATTCTATTTCTGCATCTTGCTAACTCGGCCATTCTGAATGTCACTAACTCAGCTTCTTCTCCGGAGCCTTTGTGCTCCACTGTCTCTCAGATTAACTCATATCGCAGCGGTGCCTGGACAGCGTGAAGTGTGTGGTTGTGCTGCTGCCGTGGTCCTGCCAGATGCCTCCTGCTGCTGCTGCCATCATTAGTCATTAGTCATACTTCTACTGTTCTTATACACATATGACTATTGTCACACATGTATACTGCCAGATATTAATACATACTTTCAACATATTGTACCACAGTAGCCAGAACTATAACTATAATATTATTACTTTAAATAATGTCCTGCATATCTCTCTCTCTCTCTCTCTCTCTCTCTCTCTGTCTCATTGTGTCATGTGGATTACTGTTAATTTATTATGCTGATCTGTTCTGTACGTCATCTATTGCACGTCAGTCCGTCCTGGAAGAGGCATCCCTCCTCAGTTGCTCTTCCTGAGGTTTCTACCGTTTTTTTTTCCCCCGTTAAAGGGTTTTTTTTTTGGGGAGTTTTTCCTTATCCGCTGCGAGGGTCATAAGGACAGAGGGATGTCGTATGCTGTAAAGCCCTGTGAGGCAAATTGTGATTTGTGATATTGGGCTTTATAAATAAAATTGATTGATTGATTGATTGACAGAGCTGCTTGACAGTGTCAGGTGAGCATTTGTTGGCTAGTTTGTGTGTGAGGTGGATCATAGTGCATCGCTGTTCTTCTTGGTAGTTGTAGTCTTTTGTGTGACATTAGTGTCTGGATGCAGGCGACAGATGTGTTTAAAAATTCCAGCGACAACTCAGACATTTCATATACAAGACATATAATGCAGACAATGTGTCTCTTGCTCCTTCCTTCCCTTGACCTCTCTGTTGAGGCTCTGTGCATAAATAAGATCAATAGCCTAAATAAATGAAAATCATTTTAAAGTTTCACATGCAAGATCAGAAAGGAAGTGGCAATATACAATAAATGTATAAAATGACTCATAGGTCATTGGAGGTCATAGGAGAATGGCAGACTCCTTAGCTATTTTTGAAAAGAAATTGAAAATCTATCTTTTTAATTTGTCTTATGGGTTGATTTGATTTTATATTTTATTAATGTTAGTGTTTGGTTTTGTTGATGTTGTTTAAATTGATGTGTTGTTTTTAACTGTTCTTGTTTTGTAGATTTTGATAATGCTTTGTTCAAGCACTTTGGGCTGCATTCGTGCATGAAAGGTACTCTATAAATAAAGTTTATTATTATTATTATTATTATTATTATTATTATTCTTGGTGAAAGTAGTGCTGTTACAACTATCCTCTTGCAACCATACCGATCTCCCCTACTTGGGTGGTTTAAGACAGGAAATGAATATGAGAAGAATGGCTATTTCATGTATGAAATATATTCATAAAAACATTATGTGGCCTAAAATGGTCGTAGATTGCAGGCTACTTGGCCATCTTCAGTGTCAAACAAGGACAAATTGCCTTACAACATATCACAATATGATTTTGATAATTGAACCTGGTTAACCAGCGTTAAACCAGTGCTGTCCTTAATGTCTGACAATTGCATCAAAAAATAGTTTGAATGAATGAAATGGCCTCACAGCATCTATCTAATTCGATTGCCACCTGTTTATTTTACACATATTTTTTTTTTTTTTTTAAGATATTTTTTGGGCATTTTTAACCTTTAATGGATAGGACAGACAAGTGTGAAAGGGGGAGAGAGAGAGGGAGTGGCATGCAGCAAAGGGCCACAGGCTGACCCGGGCCACCGCGGCAACATGGGGTGCCCGCTCCACCACCAAGCCACCGACGCCCCATTTTACACACCTTTTCTTTTTTTTTCTATATTCTTTTTTTTTTAATCTTTATTTTTTTCTTTATTATTAACAGTATTTATTTTACGGTATTTATTTTACACACATTTTCTAGTGGTAGCTATTCTCGCTAGCACCACTGGCTGGTGTGGTTGTAATGTTATACAGGAATGAATAATCAGAACTCTTAAATTTAACCATTTTAACATTATCTCAAATCAAGGATTATTTTACTGTGTAACTCAGAGGATGAGTTTTGCTCCTCAAAACTGAAGGACCAGACCTTAGAGTAAACTTTCACTTCTCAAATATAAGGTCAAAAAATGTGTATGTTTTCTTATTTTTCCTAATTTTTTAGTCAGTTGCCAAAAATAGTACAATTATTATTGATACAGCCTGCTTAAATATAATTGTGATTGTAGGGACTGTATGATGATGAGTTGTTTATTTTTAAGATTTTTTTTAGGGCTTTTTATTATTCAACAGCTGGAGAGTGATAGGAAATGGGGGAAAGAGAACGGGGATGACACACATCAAAGGGCTGTTGGAATCAAATCTGGGCCACTGAAGACCTCAGCCTACATGACTAGAGGGTGCCCCAATGAGTTTATACAGAGAATGAAATTGAGGTAGCAAAACCATAACTTTGCTCCCCCTAATTGTATAATGGGGATGCGTGTGCTCCACTTGTTCCACTGATCAGTATTGTCAATACTGTTGTTAGTATGTAAAAGGAGGAGCCTCTAACTATCTTGTTGTTTTGGCTATTTTCTTGTCTCTACTTTTTTTTTTAAAAAATATGTTTTGGGCATTTTTGCTGATATCTAAAGGTGGATAGTAGAGGTGTGACAAAAAGTCAGAGTAGAGAGGCAAGGGAGGGACAACATACAAACAAGGGTCCCTGGCTGGAATCAAACCATGGAATAGTGCAATTACAATAGGTGTTGTGTAGGTCCTAAATAAAGTCTCATACTACTACTACTACTAATAATAATAATAAAATTATTATTATCATTTCAAGTGATCCTACAGCAGCTCTATAGGTGCACTAAGTCTTCGAGCTGTTCTCATATTATCATTGTGCTCTAATTAGATATTTCATGCTTTGTAGCACATTGGACATCCATCATCAAAACATAGCATACAGAATTCAATGTAATTAATTCCTCAGTAATGCCATGAAAATGTGTGCATATGTTTAACCGTAATAACATTCCACACAAAAATCCATACAATTTTTCCAATTTGATTTGACTTTTATTGAAGCTTACAGAGCACACACCAGTTAGAGTAAACCTGGGGACACACCACAAATAAATGAAACATTTAGTACCCATAAGAATTTCAGCGGCAGTGTCAAATAATGATATGCAAAAATATGTTCTCTACCCAAGTACCCAGAGTGTAAGGAAGCAAAGCTCAGATGAGCAAACTCTTCTTATCACATAAAATGTTACATAGTTGGTTGTAATAATAGTAGTATCATTCCATATATTTGTATACCAGTGCCACAAATTGAATATGCATAAGCAAATAAATACATAGTGCATTTAGGAATCATGGATAAAGCAATGCCAAGTCACCACAATTTTAAAGACAGAGTAGAAGAACAATAACACACAAGAAGATTGTTAGAGGAGCTGGATGTGATATTCAGAGCAGGAGGGTGGGTGTTACACTTCTGTGACAATGATGTTCCGCCACCTTGGGTCAAAATGCCGTTACAAGCGGTAACCGCCATATGAGCGCAGTGCAGAATAGTGGCAA